AAGATGGCGAATTGACAGAAGAAGTGGAAGCCTTCGTCCATGAAATCAGTATGATTAGAATAAACACTACAGATGAAAATGTGACAAAAGTACTTCACTCACAAATGAGGGATCCAATATGTGCACAACTCAAGCTAAAAATTTTAGACGAATGGCCTGGAAAATCAAGTTTACCTAATGAGATTCAAGAATACTTTAACGTGAAAGACGAGTTAAGTTGTATTGATGGGTTATTGCTTCGAGGAACTCGGATGATAATACCTCATGAACTACGAGCGGAAATGCTTGAGAGGCTTCACAGTGGACACTTGGGAATCACAAAAACAAGGAAACGTGCTTTGGAAACCATGTGGTGGCCTGGAATTTCTCAAGAAATAGAAAGAAAAAGCAAATCGTGTCCAGTGTGTATTCAGATATCAACTAATCACAGTGAACCATTGATTCCAGAACTTATGTTTGGAGGGAAAATAAGAGAAAATCTTCCATCTACTTTGGTTGGAAATCCTGTGGAAAATAAAGACTTTTTTGAGAGGGAGAATAAGTACCAGTCGAAGTATAAGATGCAATTTGATAAACGACATGGAACGAGGGGTTTAAGTGAATTAGGAGAGGGAAGCATGGTATGGATCACAGATCTACGTAGACATGGTAAAGTAGTCAGGAAATTGAACGAACCACGTTCCTACCTTGTGGACATTGACAAGAAAACCATTCGACGAAACCAGACGTTCTTAGTTCCTGCACCATACTACGGAGAAGATTGCATTCTTTCAAACTGTTCATCTACGGTCCTTAATTGTCCATCTAACTCACGTGATCCTCCAGACGCTGGCACAGTTACCCATTACGGAAGATCCATCAAGATACCGAGGCGGTACCGAGCTTCATGAAGATGTAGACATCTTGAGGCGGGATGTTGTATTAAGTATGTTCTTTTAGTCATATGATTTATTGGTGTTTAAATATCTTTTGTTGACAGATGATTTTTGTAAACATGTTTTGGTAAACATTAGTTTAGTTGGAAATAGAGTTTGTTGAAACAAGATGTGTGTTTAATATTTTTGTATTAGAAATAGAACAATTTTTTTATAGTTTCAGTAGATAATTGTTTGTCCCTACAGTTTTTGGTTCAAGTTGGTATTGCGATAAAAATCAGTAATAAACACGACCAACTTTGTCTGATGTGCAACCACGTTCATGTTTACTAAACTAACTACAGATGTGGAAATGAGATTTACGCTCCTTGGAGTTGTATCCGTATTAAAGGTACTGTGGGAATAAATTTATGAGCCAGAACCCCGAAAATTGCACTGCTCATTGTGGTAACATATAGAAGATCCCAAGACGGATGGTGTTTGGTACATGCAATAACACTGATAAGTCAGTAAATATCATGAGTACTAACTTAGTAACAATGAGAATAATTTATGGTCATAAACAATCGATCCAATTCGTAAACTAAATACAGTTAATTTTGCTTCGAGCTTTGGTGGAAGACTTTGTAATTCACTTCTAGTTACGTGTTTGTATCTAAAGCTGTATTTTGTACCTTATTTTTCGTTACTGACAAAATTGCTGGGTCACAACAGTTGCTATAGCTCATAATAAGTCATTCCATCAGTTTGACTTGGTAAAAACCATCATGTAATCGGCAGAAATCAGTAATTTAGATCAGCGCAATCTGTAGGTGGCTCACATCAACTAGACAAATTTTATTAAAAACCTGGCTACAACTTAAACATGGGGATGAAATGTCTGTATTAATGTTGTTGTATTAATAGTCAAAGGTGTTACTTAGTCCAACATTTCAGAAATCCCTACGACTTTCTAGCATTATGTGTTCACTTAGACATACGTGAAACACGGTTGTTTGTCGCTTAGTTAGCGCTCTACTGTCGCATCGTTATGTACATTGTACACATGTGTAAATGAATATGGAAACATTGCCTCGCCTTTGCTTTCAAACTGTAATACTTCAACCGTACCAAGAGGGAATGCTGTTTACTGTCGGGAAAGAAACCTAGCACGAGTGGTAGGGTACTTTAGTGATAAGCAAATTATTGGTTCAATGTCCAGGACCAGGTCTGTTGTTGTTGACTCGCGCCTGCTCTATGAGAGAGCATTTACCTATTGGCTGCTGTGGGTCCAGATCAGATACCGCAGTTGGCTTGTCCATCGTCCATGAAACTTATACCACAGACAATATAATACTTTAAAACTCAAACAGAGACTTAACACCATAACGACGTCCCACTAATACTCAGACCAGTGTCTATAGTGACAGGCAGTTGAGATTCAAACAACTAGACATCCCATCCCCATGTTAAAGTTGTCGCCAATATTTTTTATCAAAATTGTCGTAGTTCAAGATTCAAGATTCAAATAGTCTTCATTCAATATACAACATATATAAAACATACATGTATCTGAATACAGTCAAAATCTATATACAAATCATACACATTAAAACATAATTCTACGGTTTTTTTATCTACAAATTCTTGTAATGAATAAAAAGGATTTTTTAAAGACATCTTTTAAAAGTTTTTTTGAATTTTTTGAAATTTGTCTCCTGCCGGATGCTTATTGGTAAATATTGTAACAATTTCAATCCTGCATAGGTGGTTTTCTTTGTATAATATTCTAATTTATGCTGAGGCTAATTTAACCTAGTATTATAGTTATGCCCGGGATTGGAGGGTGTTGCTAGTTCCCTTTGTTTCAAAAAGATTATGGTTTCAAGAATATATAAATTATACACAGTTAAAATGTCCAATTTATGAAAAGATTCTTCACTGAGATGGTTTTCCGGAATTTCATAATAGTGCGAATTGCTCTTTTTTGCTGTTTAAGTACTTTATCAAGATTTGATTTTGTTGTTCCACCATAGACTGTGATAGTTGATGTGAACCATAGTTGATGTGAGCCACCGAAAGATTGCTTTGATCAAAATTACTCTCTGTTCAACCATAGATTAAACATACTCCCTTAGGGCAGTGAGTATATTTAATCTTTAATCTATGGTTGAACACAAAAACTGTTAACCAAGTCAAACCTGTGGAACGACTTATTGTGAGCTATAGCAACTGTTATGACCCATCAACCTGGTCAGCAACAAAATATACTTTTCAACTGTGGATCCTTACCATTTAAAACATATAAATTAACATTTATAGAGGAAGTTTTATGATACTAACATGTAGAAGAACAGATTTATTGAAGTTTTTTTGTAGTAATATACATACGAACATGTTTAAAAGCGTCCGCGGGAGTCGAGGGTGTATTGAACACAAGTCTTGTCAAACAATAGACTGTAGAGAGACAATAAGTGACTGTCTTGGGTATACAACATTGCTGGGGTGTAATAAATACGAACACTATTTCCAACTCGCAGTGAACACATATTCGAAAATTGTCTCAAAATAATTGTTTGTATTTTATCTAAGTTTTTGCCTACTTACAACTCGTCTAGGAAGTTGGTATTTTTGAATTTATTTTTTCAACGAGTAGGGCATTATTTCCTCAATATAATATTTGATTAGGTGCATTGACTATACTGAGTACGATATAATCAATGGTATGGATATAAATATAAAAATATAATGCTTGATATATAAAACTACATTGACTCAAATTAGCCTAATAATTGTTTTCTAAAAGCAATCGGTGAGGAAAAGTTGACGCTTAAGCTGATAATTATTCTAGTCCAGTGATGTTTGTGTTGAAAACTGTTATTATAAATATTTGACTTTGACAAAGTTAGTAAAATTTGTTGGCGACTCAGGTGTAAACGTAGTTAAAAAGTTGAATGATAAAATAACATATTAAATAAACACGATTAATGGTTTTTTTTTAATCTTTTACACAGATTCATCATCCTTTAGCAGGTATTTTATTTTACGTTCAGTTTGTATGTTTTTGCATAGATGAAGTTCATCTATGGTTTTTGTGTGAGAAGCAGCGCCTTCGCTTTCTGTACGCAACCTCGTAGCCGCATTGTATCATGTTTGCGTTGTGTTATCGTAAGGCGCGTCCAGGAGCATCTGCTTCTGAATCACCATTTCATTTACAGTATACAAAGGGCAAAAACACTTTGCCAGGGCACCTCTGTTATGTAGCTCCGAGTTCAAATCATGCCAGTCGCCAATGGGTGTGAATACGCAATGACTACTGTAGTAAGCTATGTGTCCACCAGGGGAGGAGATCTTGCTCTAAAGATTTAGTTACAGGTTTAAACTGTGAAATGGATGTTGATACTGCTCTGTCTGGTTGTTGACACGTGATTGTTTGATGACAAGATAAGATTGTTTCGGCGGGAGCTGTTGATGTAAACAACAATTAGCTAGGTTACATGACAGTGTGTGAATTGGATCATCAGCACAACACTGCGTTGAGAAAACGTAGGCCTTACTCATGTAGCCTCTTCAATACAGCTAAAATTAAATAACATGATCAGTATAGAACACGTTTCTTGTCTTCTCTGTGATTATTTTACAGGTCACCCATATTGGTTTGAGCGATTACTGTTTTATAAAGTTTTGAAATTATGTTTTCGTTTAAAGAATGAGAAAAAGAATGAGGGAAAAGTTGACAACAACGCTGAGTCACACCACTTCTTCCTTTTTTATGTCCAACCTTCACATCCTAGGACGCTAGGTTCAAGCCCGAAATGGTTTTATACATTACTCCAGGCTTATCCTAGAGGGTTGCAATATTATCGAATTTATAAAATCCATTGGTGATTGGTGGGATTTGAACCCAGGACCTCGGGCCCCAAAGCCCCGAGCTCTACCACTAGACTTTTAGTATAACATTAACCCAGCTAATGAATTGTTGAGATGGCTGTACAAAAACTGTTGGTGGTATTTGAAGGGTTCTTGTGTGCTTACCCATCCCCATTGCCACTCTAATTGACTCAATCATTGTAAGATTGTGTGTACATTTCTGTAGGACTACTCAGAGAGCTTACCTATGTAACTCACTGATGTTTTTTTTTTCAGACCCTGATCAACACAGCTTACTGTACCCTCATTCTGCTGGGCAAGTTTATACAAAGACTAGTGTTTGGTGAACTGAGGGTCTCGGAGCAGCAACACCTCAAAGACAAGTTCTGGAACTTTGTCTTCTACAAGTTCATCTTTGTATTTGGTGTCATCAATGTGCAGTTTATGGATGAGGTAAGGATTTTGTTTTGTTTGTTTACAGTCTAATAATTAGAGATAATTACTTTTTACATTTTACAATTTTTTTGCAAGACGCAATACAAATCCTCTATCTGTCCCCCTGAACAGGGAGTCGAAGTCTTAGGTCACTTATTTCTAAATAGACTTAACTGTCTTCCAGTTATGCGCGTGGTTTAACTTCTCAACCAAAAACTCAAGAGAAGTTTTAAGGTTGGACATGTCTAGCATAGCTCTCAGCTTTTGGTTGAGTTATTCTCCCATGAATAATTCTATGTGAGGATTGGTTAATGGTTATTGCATAAGTCTATTGCATCGCCCTTTGGAGTAAAAAATGTGAAAATGTTCTTCAGTTTACCCAAAAGAATGATAGATCTAAAAGCAAGCATGTTAAAACTAAGACATTAAATTTAAAAGGTCTGTTATACATGGAGAAATGCAAGTACAATCAATAGTTAACCAGTTGTCTATTCTAGGTTGTCATGTGGTGTGCCTGGTTCAGTGTATTAGGCTCCCTACATCTATTGGCACAACTCTGCAAAGATCGTTTTGAATATGTAAGTAAACGTTAGATTAAATCATCTACATGTATTTAATTGTTTTTTCAAGCTTATGAATGTGTTAAATGAAAAGTAGTTTTGATAACATTAGTTGACCTTAACATCTATACAGCTTGAATCTAAAGTGATCATGTTAGCCTTTCACTAAACACTACGATGAAGTAGGCATCCCATCCCATGTTAAAATTGTTGCAAAACTTAAATGGGTTTGGACCGCTTTCCCTAACTTTTAAAAAATTTAATTAATTTTTTAAGTCAAGGAACTGTTATAGTGCTCGCCATTAAATCTGAAGGTCGCTGGTTCAATTCCAAGCGAGATTGTTTCCAGACCCAGATGCCATTTTTCTTTGGGCTAAGAATTAATTAACAAAAAGCTATCAAACAAAAAGGTTGATGTTAGATAGTAACAATACCAGGATTTGGATCGGTTTCTTTCAAAACATAAAAAATGCCATTGGTATAAAAAAACACCTGAAAAAAACTATGTTAACGCAAATTACTGCTGATTACACCGGTCCAGATAAAATGTATTAAGTAGGTTTTCGTATTATGAAACCACCAAGTCCAACATTACGTACTGGTAACTTATAAAACATTCACAGATGTTTACCTGGTAAGTGGTAAATATCGTGTACACAATAAGTGCTCAATGCTCAATAGCAACAGGTGATATTTACTCTATTGTTCAACACTCACATTCACCAATTTGTTTATCCTTACTTTGCATAAATTTTTTTATTTTTGTAAAAATCATAGAAAAACTGAAGTTTTTTTTGTCCTAAATAAAAATGTCAAAACGGTCTGGAACTTGACCTTTAAATAAATGCAATCCAATAAAAAAACCTTTAAGTGTTATTGTACAAGCTGATTGTTTTTGGTACCTTGTCAATTTGATTAATTATTAGATAATTGAACCCTTTAAAAATATGCTCTGTTAGAAATGGAGTTTAAAAAAAATCTTTTATAATTAGTACGAGTCAGTGTGGTAAGAATATGTTATCATCCCTGACCTCTTAAAAACCAGGTTAGGTTTGTCTAAAATTAGTATTTTATTTCTTGATGATACAGAGATTATGATCTACTTTGAATATGAAGTACAATATATTTTCATAATGGAGAACCTTTTCAAAAAAGTTGGTGTTAGCTAAAAGATTCTAAATATTAGTTTCAGTAGTAGTTTGTGTTGTAATAGTAATATATTTGATTTATTTTTGTGTTTACAAATCTTTGGTAGTGAAACAAACCCTTCTTATTCATCCTTATTGTTGAAATTTATGTACGCTTAGTTTTTATGCCCAAAATAAGGAAAGGTTTCGGGAGTGAAGTAGAATGCTGGCTGAAAAGAAGTGTTAGAGTTTTTACAGTTAAATGGAGTACTTCCCCTACAATTATAGACGAGCATTGTAGGCTTGTAACTTATTAAGGGTTATCTAGATAGTCAATTGCTGTGTATTTTTGAGAAGTATGATGGCCCATTGTTTAGTTGTGTAATGCAGTGTTGTGTTTCCAGTTATCATTCTCCCCCACCACGCCAGGATGGTCGCACCTGAGACTGGTGGTGTTGCTGGTGTCCATACTGTTTCTGTCAGGTTAGTCATACTTGTTGTAAACATGTATAAGCAACATTAGAGTAAACTTAGCATGCAAATTGTACATCTAAGTGTAGTTTTAAATGTTGTTTTTTCAAGGAATGATTAGTTGGGCTGAAAAGCCAGTCCAGTAGAGCCCTACGAAAAAAACTAGTTGGGTTAGTATCCTGTTTTTGTTAGGATTGGATCAAGCAGAGGTTTGTTACATATTTTGCCTATGAGACGTAATGGATGTTTTAAAGTACACAAAGCGGTTTTTTTGTGAAAGAGTTCTCTCAGAGATTTGTAGGCCTGGACAAAAATAAAATAACAAATCTATATACAATTTGTTATTTACACAAAATGTTTGGTTAAAATTTATTTGGGCTCTGATTTTCTAAAGTAGCCTCGCTTGACCCTTATCGCTTTCATAAATAATCCTTCTCAGCCACTCTGCCTGCCTGTAGACTCTGTTGCTGCATAGTATGTATGCTAATGTGTTGGTCTATGTTTAGGTCTGATGTTCCTTGTAGCAGTTGCCGTTGGCTTCTTGTCAGCCGGTCTCAACACATTCGCTTTCATGGCTGCCGAGGTAAATACTCACTTTAACAACCTTTCAGTTTCAAAATGGTATAAGGATAGGAATACAGAATAAGGATTACAGTAGTGGTTACTTGAGAGAAGACATTAAATTTGTAGAATAGGTGGAAAGGTTTGGATTAACCACCATCCATCCAACAGAACATCTTTGATCAGACCAAATGTTTCACTGCACTATCAATACTGGTAAACCCAATGCTCTTGCGTTGTTCCAATCTTGTCTCCCAGGCTGCAAACATGTCAAGCACAGTTTTCAGTTGTCTTTAATAAGTTATGTTTTGTGTGGATAATTATAGTTTGTACTACGCTATTTAATTTATACGAGCTGTTGGCCCGTCCTACGTACGGGAATCGAGTAGTCAATTAAAACTGATTAACCTTGTTACAGTGCGTGCTGTTGTCGGTGCGCACGCTGCACACGTTGCTCCGCTACGCGCTGCACGTGTACGACGTGCGTGGTGGCGGCGGCCGCGTTTGGGAGAAGCGAGGCGCACTGGCTTACTACACAGAGCTAGTGTTTGAGCTGGGAGCCCTGACTGTAGAGCTGCTACACCACGTGCACATGCTGTTGTGGAGCAACATCTTCCTGTCCATGGCTTCACTAGTTATCTGCATGCACCTGCGCTACCTCATACATGAGATACAGAGGAGAGTGAAGAAGCACCGCAACTACTTGTGGGTGCTGTACCACATGGAGCAGAGGTAGCAAACTTAACATCAATTATATCTATTTGAATATAATTTTAGTGACCAAAACAGCGGAATTCACTAATATTGATTAAAAGCACTTGTCAGCAGTTATAATAGTAATATGTTTTGTTGAGAAGCCATCATCAGCCATTCAACCACGTCAATCCGAAAAATAGGTGAGTCGGTGGCTCAGTCGGTGACGTCACGGACTTCAGGCCCAAGGCAGCGTTGTCATGGGTTCGTATCCTGGTCACGGCCGTAAACACTTTATCAGTACAGTTCACCTTTGTACTGTACCGGCTCACTCCTTGCTTTGCTGGATACGTTCCACGCACGGGCAAATAGTCTATGTGGACGAGCAAATGCAAGGTTAAAAGAGGCCGCCAACCTCTTAAAAAAAAAAACCTTCTCGATATCAGCACTCAAGTTAGGCCAATACTGTATAACAAAGCGAGCCCTATGACACCTTAATGAGACTCATGAATATGGTCTAACACTTTGTCTTAACGTTAAGGTACGACAAGTATGTTCTCTAGAAAGAGTAAGTCATCTTCAAATAGAATATTACGTTGAATCTTAAAAATCAGTTTTTTCTTCTCTTCCTTTGAGATCTTTTAGATTAGACCATCCTTTATGAATGTAGTTTATTACATTACTTAAAACTGGGCCATTTTTGGAAGCTAACCTAAACTCTTGTTTTTTAGCTTCGGACATACTAAGTTGTTTAGGTAGGCTATTTACCATCACACATTTGTCAAGTAAACTCTCACTCTCTTTTGGTACTGTTTTGACAAATCTTGACATAACGGCAGCAATGTCATTATCTTTCCCTGGCAAATACTTTACATTAAGAATTTAACAACTTGAGCTTAAACTTCTGAAGTCTACTTGAAACATTACAAATACTCTTTTCCATCATACTTACAATAGGCTTATGATCAGAGTACACAGTCACCCCAGTTCCATGAATGCACTGGTAAAACTTGGACACTGCAAAAACAAACAGCGGCCTTTTCCTTGTCAATTACTGGGTATCTAGTTTCTGCACTAGTTAAAGATCTAGTACTGAAAGCTACTGGATACTTAATTATTCTGTAACAAACTAGCTAGGCCAGAAGAATTACATGCATCTTACACAAATTTCTACTGGCAATTTTGGATAAAATATTATAAGTACAGTGGCCTCCTTGATTTTTTTAAATAGTTTAAATGCTTTAGACAATTTGGTTTTGTCCAATTAAAAGGTTCAGTTATTTTAGACATAATAGGTTATAAATTTAGTCATTAAATTAACTGCACCTAACATTGACTGCAACTATTTTTTGTTTTTAGGTCCTTGCAACTTAACTAACACTTCAATTCTATCTGGGTCTGGCTGAACACCTTGTTCAGAAAAAAAAATAGACCTAAATATTTAACCATGTTTACTTTTTACTCTAACTTGTTAATGTACTTTCTTAAATGTTGTTAAATGTTCTGTACTAACTTAAATGTTATTTTCATGCTTTGAACTGTACCTTGTTACTGTACTATTAAACTTAATATTATTTTCTTGCTTTGAATTGTAACTTGTTACTGTAGGTACTAAAACTTTATGTTATTTTCTTGCTTTGAACTGTAACTTGTTACTGTACTATTAAACTTTATGTTATTTTCTTGCTTTGAATTGTAACTTGTTACTGTAGGTACTATTAAACTTTATGTTATTTTCTTGCTTTGAACTGTAACTTGTTACTGTACTATTAAACTTTATGTTATTTTCTTTTGCTCTTTGAATGATTTTATTAAGAATAAGGTAATGTTCTTCCTCAGTTGATGTAGTTAAGATGAAGTCATCAAAGTAAATACCTAAATTAGGAAAGTCACCTAATACTTGCATATGGTACCTTTGAAATATCTCTGGAATTACACTTAGGCCTAAAGGTAATTTAGTGATCGTAAATATCCCAAAATGTGAAATGAAAGTGGTGAGCAATCTACTCTCATCGTCCAGTTCATTTTGATGAAATCCATCTTTTATGTCGAATACAGTAAAGTATTTCTTACCTCTGAGCATCAGTTCAAGTTGGCCACTTGACGGTATTGGATAAAGGTTTACTTTCGATTCGAGCGAACCTCCGCCATCTTGGCAACTCCCTGTCTCTCTGGTCTTTGGCTAATGCAAAGCCTACTAAATGTACAAACATACAAAAGACAACTTATACATATATTACAGTGACACTAAAGTTTGGATAAGAAACTTTTAAGAAATTAGTTTGGAATTTTGGTTGAACCCCCACCCCTAAGCTGAGCTACTAGCACTGTGACATAATTCATATGATTGTTCCACCATTTAGAATCAGCACAATTGGTTTTTCTATTCCAGTAATCCAAGTTGAATTAAAAATTAATTAAAATCAAACTTTTATTCCATACAACCCAATTTATATTTTCGTGGTATTATAGCGTAGTTACAATCCCACTTTTTTCACAGCTACCCAATGGCATCCAGCAAGGAACTGGCTGAAAACTCAGACAACTGTGCCATCTGTTGGGAGAAAATGGAATCAGCTCGGAAACTGCCTTGCACCCATCTGTTCCACAAGTAAGTTTCCAGAAAGTGTATACAAGTTGTATTCAAACAGGTTTTTCCTATAAAGGGTGAGGCAGTGAAACGGCATGATTTGATACCAGCTGACAAGGAATTGGGGGCTATAAGAGTTAGGGGTAAATGACCGTAGGCGTCTATATAAGTAGAAATTTCAGTAGCCATGGAGCGTTGGAAGAGTGCACAACACGTGTTTGCTGTAAAGGCATATTTAATGGATATTATGTTTTGTGCTCACCGCACTTTCCGTTGTGAGTTCAGTCAATCGCCGCGGGCTCCCGTGCCATCGAGGAAAGCTATCTTCCTTTGGTTGGATAACTTTGAAGTCACTGCTAGCATGACAAAGCGCTATAAAACGATTGCAGACGTTATGCAAATGCTAAAAACCATCATGCTAAAACCATGGGGAGTACAAATTCAACAATGTGTACAAAACTAAGAACCCCATTTTACTGACACTGTATTAAAAAATGTAATTATTTGAAGTTGAAACATTAATTTCCACTGATGTACTTAGGATTTATATTAAAACCACTATCATTTTTTTCTAAATGAATTATTTGAGATTTTTCAAAATCGTGCCATTTTATTGATGTTAAGGGTATTTACCATACACTAGTTGTCTATTGAGTATTTCACTCTTGACAGAGACATCTCCATGAAATAGCTTAACCAATCAGACATGGGGATCTTCACGAACACAATCCCAGACAAGCTTTCGATTGAACTCTTCCAATTCATAAGTTAATGTTCACAGAAAGATAACTGTCCATAATGAGCTGTATAACAAAATAATTGAGCTAACCAAAAATTGCTTATGTGTAAATGACTGATCAAATACGCTAAATTTTTTACCAAGTCAAACTGAAAACAACATTTTGAAAACTCTAGCAAACTTTATGTCACATTTGTTATCAAAGGATAAAAATCAAGGGAGTAAATAGAATTTTAGACTAGCACATTATGTGATGTTTCATTTTACTATGTTCTTTTACAACAAATAATTTGGCTACCATGCAGATGGGATGTCTCCTTCAGTATAGGTCAATGTTATGTGATAACTTTATCTTTCTCTGTCACAGTTCGTGTCTACAGTCTTGGCTAGAGCAGGATACATCGTGTCCCACGTGTCGTCTGGCCTTGAGTATTCATAGTCTCAACTCAGCCAACAGTCAACTCAACGAGCCAGCCAACCTGCCTCCCAACCGTCCCCGGCCCAACCACTTCTTCCACTTTGATGGTAACTTTGTTCAGCAATGTTTAACATGTAATTTAAGTGATTATTACAGACATGTACAGTAAAACCACTGACACGAGATGAGGAAGTACACAAAACATGACCTAGTTAAGCAATTTCACGATTTCTTATCTGAGGATTCCAGATCCTAAAATGTTGTAAAAAGATAACTTAAAACTTATAACTTTATTATTAAGTGACACTCTTTGTGTGGATATTTCATGCTGAGTGTGAGTCTGAGTTTAGTGCAGTATGTGAAATCCCCTAATATCAATGTAAAGTGTGCAGATTATACAGCCAATAGTTATTTGTGTAACTAGTGGGGAAAGTGGCACTTTGCAAAGGCCTTTTTCACTCGTGTTACACATTATATTTTTCCTACAGTCACTATAAAGCATATAAATAATTAGTCTTTCAAACACTATACAACACGTTTTTAGGTTCAGCTGGCAACACAAATGGTGCCCTAGAGAAAGTAGTCCCCGGTCCGTATCACTCCGCAAGAATTTTTTCCTCGGCAAGAAATGTGCTCCGCGTTTTGATAATATAGTTCCGTATGTTTTTGTAATTTGAAGTGGTTTCCGCGCCTAAAAAAAATGCTTTAAAGGTATTTTCTTGTTTATTAAGATCGTAGGAATGTTTTAAAAACGTTTAAAAGAAATGTCCAGAAAGTTCAGAAATACCGAAACTATACACAAAATGACAGGTTAAATTGTAGTTATAATAGTCAATCAGCTGCTCATAATATTATTATCTTTGCCAACCTATTTCCAAGCGTACACGGATTACGTGCATAATAGAACCACGCTGTTTTGTGTTGTTTCGTTGGAATCCTGATGTGCGGCAAAGTATAAACCGTACGACAAAGTATAAACCGTACGGCAAAGTATAAATATGCAGCAATTAGCAGCTTTCTGTACTATAAACAGTACAAGGAAGCCAACTTTGTCGGGTGACTGTAGGAAAAGATATTACTTTCACCCCTTTGGCATATTTTCTGGTCACTCGTTATTTTGTGATTCGGTAGCTCAGTTAGTAGCGCAACAGACTTCGAAGTCATGGCAGTGATATTGTGGGTTCAGATACTGGTGCCTGCCACTAGATTTTATTAGTTCACCGTTGTTGTACCGGCTCACCACATGCTTTGCCGGATATGTCCTACATTCCACGCACAGGCCCAAGGACTATGTGGACAGGAAAATGATTTTTTTTAAGAGAAGAGTAATCATTTCCAAGCTTAGATGTTGAACCTCCCCATTTTCTCCGATCTACAGTTCTTTCTCCTTTACAGTCTATTTTTTCCTCTTTTCTCCACAACCCTCTTCATCTTCTCCGTCTATAGTCTCGGTTACTATTTACTCCATTTCCTTGTGTGTAGATTGTATATATTTGTTTTGTTGTGTCACAGGCTCCAGATACGTGTCATGGTTGCCCAGTTTCTCTGTAGAAGTGACCCACACTCAACTCCTACATAACACTCAACCAACCCACACCTCCCAGCTGGAGTCCATGGCCAGGACGGTGAGTAAACACTATGGCCATAGCATAATTGTTGAATCAAATGGCCATCAATCAAAAAGCTCCAAAATTATGTTTCTTTGTTGTATTATCGCAGTTAGTTTGCCATATGTAACTTTCACTAATCCAAGCTCACTAATACGTGTCTATGTTCTTAATTTTTGCTGTTTACTCCAAGTATTATGTATGTTTTTACCCATTGTTCATTTGACATCAATTAAATTATTTGGTTGCTTAAAAATTCTGAAATCAAAAATATAATTTGTTACCTACTAAAGCCCCCCACACACTACCAGACCAGACCTCCAGACCAGACCGTCTGGTCTGGCGTCTGGCACTTGTCTTATCGTGTGTGGGACTGTCTGCAGACCGATTTTCTCGGACCGGACTGTCTGCGTGTCTGATGGTTGAACCCTCAGACCACAGACGGTCTGAGGTTCCCCCACCACTATTTTTGTCTGGTCTGTGAGTGTGAAGCGCTGTCTGTCAGATGACCGACCGTCGCTACAGTATTCATCCATTTGTTGGAGTTCTCACCACGGTGTCTCAATTACGAATGTTGGAATGTCTGGTCTGGGAGTGTGTAGAGCCTTCCAAGACGGTCTGGTTGCAGCCAGACGGTCTGGTTGCAGCCAGACGGTCTGGTCTGGAGGTCTGGTCTGGTAGTGTGTGGGGGGCTTAAAATAACTCTAAATTATCTAGCACCGTTGCTACCTCACTCGACTTTGTCAAAAAAGTTGATGGTTAAGGCTGTAACATAGAGAACAAGGGCTTAAGATTTTTAGGACTTTTGTGAGGATATCTTTGGTATAAAGGTTAGTACAGAGAATAGGCATACCTGAATGGGAAAGAGTAAAAACAGGCACAAGAAAAATCACACCAGAAAAATTAGAATATTGTATTGTCACTGTCAACATTTTTAACCTAGGAAGGTTTAAAGACCCATTGGGTCTGAAGATTTCTCTACTCAAACCTTCCTCCTTCCTAAGCTGAGTAACTACCAAACTACTATACTCACTCAACTTATGGGTCAGTGTTGTCAATATTGGTTGGTTGGTCAATTATTTATGTCACAAACACAAGTTATCAAGTCAATATTTTTATCTCAGATCAGCAAATAAAACACTATACAGTATTAATATTTTTTACCACCAGGGCCTAGACTGTTCATTGCTCTTTTCTGAAACAAACAATTGGAATCCTAAATGAGTGTTCACAGGTTTCTAAGATAGGTTAATGATAAAGCACGTTTTAAATTATTGTAGTTGTGTCTATTGTTTGATTAACTTGTTCTTTAACCCAGGGGCGGCTCCAGGAATAATTTTTTGGGTAGGCCTGGCAAGGATCAAGAAAGAGTTTGATCAAGGGGACGAGAGGTTTGAAGGGCTTCCCCGCAAAAAGGGGGAGTTTTTAAATTTAAATTCAAAATAATTAGTTTAAATGCTTTAACTTTAATTACATACAATTACATTGCTTTATTTCTTTCTAGTTTTGAATTATCTACCAAAATTTTGGGTAGGCCCGGGCCTACCTGGCCTGCCCTCTGAAACCGCCCCTGCAACCTGTTAATTTTCATTGATACAAGTATATTTCTCTGGTAATTTTTGTTAAATTTTTAACTAGGTTCAACCATTTTGTTTCTTTTAAAATTACATTCTTTGATTTGTGTTATATTTTGTTGTTTTAAGTTGAAACTTGAAAGTAGTAGTTTAAACCTGTAGTTGTATGTTTTGCATTTTACTCAGTTCCTTAAAAGAGAGTAATGTGTTTTTTTTAGAGTTTTTTAAGTATTTTTTTATACCAACCATAATTGTAATTCAATTAATTTGGTCTGCTCATATTGGCCCAGCCAGGTATGGTTCATCCTTTATTCGTATTGGAAGCTTTAATAAAAAAAACACAAAAATCCTAATAAGTGTTCATTGTTTGATTATCACAGTTTTGTTAGTTAATAAATCTGTACAAGTACAACTTTTTTTTAAGAAGATAATCATAAACTTTTTACTCTTATTGCCTATAGGACAAATGACAAACAAACTCAACATTTTACGTGTAGATTATACGTGAAGGCCCATTAATTAGGCTTCCAAGTCAGCCATAATGTACTTTTAGATGTCTAGCTATCCTTTTCAAAGAATTCCTATTAAGCCAGGAAGTTCAAACTGCTGTTGGCAACCCTGATTCACCACCGGTTTAATGAGGGTTTACTGTACTGGTGGTTTGATTGCAGGTGCAGCAACTGTTCCCACACCTACCACTGAATGTCATCATAGAGGATCTGCACATCACACGCAGTGTTGAGTTAACTGTAGAGAATGTGTTGGAAGGTCATGTAGTGGCACCACTGCAGAGTCCACCCACACCTCCTCCCCTGTCCACTCCACCGGTGACTCCGCCCTCCCTGGGGGCCGGCGTTTGGCAGCACGCCTCCAACAGGTTAGTTACGATCAAGAAACTACCGAGTTATTACTTACAGTATGACTCCCATTACCAATGACATCAGCCAATCGTACAGTTTCAGTCATCACAATTTGGTATGGAAAACATGTTGCAAATTTGGGATTACATTGTGCTTTTGTATTGGGAAAAACATTTCTTACAACTGTTTAATCACTACTCTGGCCAAGCCGCCCACTTTCTGGTGTCCTCAATGATCTATTGCCCGTGTTTCTGTTCTGCTACTTTCTTCCGTGATTTAACTCATGGTTGTTTTGTTCTGCACAAGGAACAGCATCGTTGCAAGGAATAAAAAACCGCCAGCAAAAGGCTCTTTGTCGTTATCACTTAATTTTTTATTAAAATATGTTTACACAGCGTAACTTCCATGTTTTCCGGCCCAAATTGTGAAGACGACTGAAATGGTATAAGTAGCCAATGAAAGGGCCCTAGTGACAGTCTTCACCCTTCACAGCCAGAGTACTACGTGAGACAAACTCCTCAATACATTTTTTGCACCCTGTTTGTTTTGAAGATATAAAAAGAACGTCATCAGTATTGCAAATATTTTTAATTTGTTATTAGCAAAATGCCATAATTTGACTTGATATGTTGCACTTTTTTTGTAGCTGTAACATTTGAAATATATTCACTCTGTGCGATTGAAATTAGTCATATCGCTTGTGATAGCATTTTCATTAGTTGGATGTGTATTGGGAGTTCTACAACTGTTCAGTTCTTTTAATTAAATCAATCTGTTTTTAAATAGTGAATCTGCTGAGGAAGAAGAGGAACCATTGAACCCAGGAAGTCGATTTTCAAAGTCTCCAACAGAAAGGGAAAGAATCTTGTATGTTCGAAAAGAGAAATTGCTGCTTGGAGCTCGTCGAAGATATCTGGAGAGACTTCAAGCCTCTCCTTCTAGCTGAAGGGGTCCCTCTGTATCGTCAATGTTTACTGTCAAACTAAAGGCTTATTTTAATATTTCAACCACTAAATAAATAGTCGTTCAAGCAAAAATATTCTTTCAATTAAATGTTACGAATTAATTTTTTTAATGTTAGTTGGAATTCTCAAACCTTAAAAACGCTTTATATGCGGATGTATGTAAATTTTATATTCTTGAGCTTCTGGTTTCAATAAGGCTTTGTTATTTCACTCTCGTTAAATTTGTGCACCCAATAGTCGTTTATCAAGTACTTTTGTAAATGAAGAAATGAAAGACTGTGTTATTTAATAAGAAGATATCGTGATATTTTAGAATGATTAACGAGTACTTTCTTTTGTGTTTCACGTAGGTTAATACCATAAATTTTGTAGCTTTAGCGTTTTTGTTGTATATATGTTTTTATCTTAAGACTACACCAAAATGTTACTTTTCATACTTTAACTAGGCAATCTGAATCTAGTCTAGTTTTGTACTATATTGTTAATTTTAATCGTAGGAACATTAATTTACTAGGCTGTATTGCTGTTACACCTTTAATTTAATTAGGCTTATCTAATGAGTGAGTTTATGTAGATTTTTGGAATTCGGAAGGTAGAAATTACAATGTACACCCACATTAATTTATATATATATATTTTTTTTAACTATACAATCATTTATTTAAATTGATTTTTAGCTTAGTTTATAGCTCGTATTCAGCTTTTGGTGAGTTAAAAAGTAGTTTGATATAAACAGTTTTAATTTTGATTTAATCATTCCTCAGGTACTTTTACAGAGCTGATCTGGAATGTTTAAGCGAATGAGATTGTCATAAGTTTTGTCATTTGTCTAGTAGTCCTAGCAGTGTACCTATCAATCAGAGAAAAATTAAACTTCGGGTTTGTTTCTCGCAGTTATAAAAAGTGTTCAATCATTAGATTGGGTTTCAAACGACTGTTAGTATTATGTACAGTTTTGTTTGATTTTGTTGATAGAAGTGTAGATTGTATAACTGTGTATTGTAGGATTTGTGTACAAAATGAGGCTCGACTAGTGACTGATTTTAGCATATTACACCCTGCATTAGAATAAAATATTCTTTGTGCATAATCTGTGACTTTGATTAACGTTCCTGCCAACCACTCTTTAAGTTAACTCAAAGTATAAAATGTTGTCTGTTTACAAAATATTGGGCTACTACTTTCTTATTATTGGTGCCAGCGGCCAGTCTACACTTTTCGTATCCCTTCGGCAATCTCCCCAAGCCACATAACTTATGCACATTATAATTTTTTATGTTTATAAATGTTTAATAGGTACACTTCTTCCAACTGGCAATGGATTTCAATGGCTAGTGGTTGAGCAAAATTTTCCTACAAATTCCAATAACTCCCATCCCACAGAAACCTATGCACAGATTATGATTTTATACTCGTTGTGTGAGTTGATTTACATTTATTTCCCCTTTAAATGATTATTGGCTACTTAAAACAAAACCAACTGAGGCGTTAGAATATGGACTGTTAAAAACACAGAAATTTTGATTTTACATCACAATCCATCAATTCCTGAATTAAAAAGAGCCAGATGATAAATGGTCTTAAATGAACAAACATGTTAGTTACAGTCTTTATTTATTAATATTTTAGAAATAGTTACATAACTTATAATCCTGACGCAACAAAATTAAAACCACTTTGAGACCTACTCTGTATTACATAGTAAATTTCGGTGCACCATGAGACAATTTTTTATGTTAAAAATAAACTGTATACAAAATACACCCAACATTATGTATCAAAACATGATGAAATACAATTGTCATTAAATGCTTGTGTGACCCATGGAAGTTTTCCCATGCTCCAAGACTGGTTTTTCTGTATCTGAAAAAAGACAAAAATTTACATTGGTTTTTTAAATTCCAAATACCTAGTGGAATCTGCAAAGTGATGCTTATCATAAAACCTGTCAGGTGATCGATGAGGAAGTCGCAATTTCGAATTAATAATAAGAGTTGGTGTAAATACCTGCATTCCTGCGATTTAATTTGCTGCTAAATTGCAACCGGTATAGACTGACATAGAAGTCATCGTCGGGCCAGTTCAGATGTATTCTAGCTTCATTCGAAGGTCGTCAATTCATAATAAATAAATACATAGAGGCCTTGGATGCTCCCCTTCTGACGGTTGAAAGGTGCCAATTGAGTGATAAATTGTGTCGTGTACGTTTTACATGAAAGGCCCTCCACCGTTATGTTCTTCAATTTTAGCTCGAGTGCTGACCATTGGGAGCGTAATATAGTATAGACATTGTTTCTTTATAGGTATTTGTAACACTATTGATAAGGCATACAATATTTCTTAAGTTAAATAACAGTTGAGAAATGATGTTTATGTTTGTTATGATTTATTGTGACTCATAGGTGATTGAAGGATTTGTGATTTGGTTTGAGGTAGTTTAATGTACCTAATAAAATATGTCTTATTTAAATTGAACAATTAACTTAGTGGTTTTGAAACTGCAAGATAGAAATTTAAAATGTGAAAAATAAAGAATATAAATTAGCCTAAGTAAAAATGGAGACAAAGGCGAATCAAGAATATGAAAATTTTTATTGGAAAATCTGGCAAGGATAAACTATTTAGGATAGGTAAGATACTGAAATCAGGAAAAATTTCAAAAAATATCTAGTGAGTATTTATAATAGGCCTAGATGTTAAGTAGAATAATTACCCAGCTCATCAACCAATGAAGTTGATGACGACAAGATGCAAGATTATGTGAGCGAAGATGAAGTCTGCAAAACCTCGCTCCGGACTGATACCATAGAACTGGCTCTTGTTCTGCGGATTAACTTGAAGTCTCAAACACACTGTAATACAAATTCAGAAAATATGAGGTGTGCTTACTTGAACAACAATTTATAGGCATAACAAATTTAAAATACCCCGCCGCAGCAAACCTGCAGACTAAGCGAATTTCAACTTGTCTGATTACATATTTACCTACTCAAATATTTCCATAAATAAGACATATTTATTTCCAATTTAAATAACATTAGATTTAACGAGTGCTTAGGTTTGCTGCTACAGGGAAGGTAAACTGTGTTTTTTGACCAAATGTCAATAGTATAGGATGAAATAAATAATTTGCCAAATTTGATCAACATATTATCCATAAACAAGTAAACTACAACAGTTTTCATTTTCTCCATAAGAATAACATGGGAATTTTAAATTTGCACTTTTTTAAATTTTCTCTGTAACCATTAGGCATACAACAATGTTTCAATATACTAAATTATTTATTTTTTTAGGCTCTGGTTGGGAAAGAAATTCCAACATTTTATGTTTTTAGGGTCAAAAATGGGAAAAACCCAATTTTTACCCCATGAACCCCCGTTCCCATGGTCCGATCATGCTGGTTCGCTAACTCGTTCGAATAAATGTAGGTTTACATGTTTATACTAAATTTCACCAAAATCGGATAATTTTTGTTAGAGTTATCGTGCTAACGGACACACATATATTATATATAAATACACCTATATATAAATATATAGATGCAAACAAAAGTTAGGTAAGCATTTAATGTATTTGAAGTTTGAAAATGGACTTAGGCCTATGTCCGAAACATGTCACTTCTTAAAAAAATATATAATATTCAGGGTGCTCAGTTGTACTTATTAACTTAAATATTCAATGTATATATAAATATATACATTTTTCCGTAAAATGGCAAGCAACACATTTTATTGGGCGCGAGCACTACTTATTGCTGACTTAACCCCCTTAACCTACCCCCAAGCCACAGGTACATGATATTGATACTGTCGTGTGCGTTAATGTGTCCTCTATCAGCTAACACTCTCGGTAATAACCTACGCGGCCGTATTTTTCCGTAAAATGGCCCGCAATAGATTTTTTCAGGCGCGAGCACTACTTATTGCTGACTTAACATACACCCCAGGTACATGATATTGATAGGCTACTGTCGTGTCCGTTAATGTTTCCTCTATCAGCAGACACTCTCAGTAATAACCTACGCGCCCGTATTTTCCCGCTAAACAGCCAGCAATAGATTTTATAAACTTATTGCTGACTTTACCCCCCCGAACTTACCCCCCAGGTACATGATATTGATACTGACGTGTCTGGTAAAGTGTCCTCTATCTGGTGACATCATCGGTAATATGGTACGCGACCGTATTTTCCCCTAAAATGGCCAACAATCGATTTAATCGGGCGCGTGCAATACTTATTGCTGGAGTTATTGCCAGGTTCACACCAATTGCGCACTACTTATTGCTGAGTTATTGCCAGGTTCATACCAATGTAGGCCTAGGCTTACAAAGTGTGCGATTTAGGCTAACACATTTCTTACCTAAACTTCTCGATCATATGCGCAAACTAGTAACTTTTTAGGTTAGGCCTACCTAATTGGAATCTTGTAGGGGGGAGGGTGGGCTTGAGCCCCCTAGTCCATATTGATCAGATAATTGACACCCATGTAGGCCTATTAGGGAGTAAGATAAAGGTCTATTTTAAACCATCAATGAGTCTAGGGTCCAGGTCTATGACCAATGATAACAATTTACATAGATATTGATTACCGGTAACTTACCTACTTAACCCAGCTTTCACCCCAACCTTATAACAAAAGACTTACCTGCTAACACAAAGCTGCTCACACAAGAAATAAATCCACTCAAAAATGAATTGAAAGGAAAAGTGCCAACAAGACAGCAGTATAGAAATTGGACAGCACCCGTCAATAAAACATAGAACAAATAGGCATCAATAATTTTGAGCTTTTTGGGAGTGTGAGTTGTGTACTCATCATAGAATTTTACGACAACAGAACTAAGGCTTGACATTTTCGAAAATGAAATTGGTACCAAAAACAAATAACAATTAGGCTACACAAAAAAGTACTAACGGACCGGCTCTTCAAAAATAAATAACCTTAAACCAAAACCACAGACAGACTTTATTTTTTATTATTGGAGTATTGCAGACGTCAAAATCATAGTAGACCAGACCGAAACAGATCAGAAAAAACCACCAACCAACCACGCAGTCACACGTCATGTAATACAAACAACTGCTATTTTTTAACTATTATTTGTACGCACGTTTTAGATAACACGTAACTTCGCTGTTAGTTCGAAAAGCTCGGAGTGCCAGCCACGGCCGCCTTTAACTACAACAGGCCGCGGCCTGGTAGAATTGGCAACATCGCAAGTGGTGTTGTTCAGTGACAGACGTCCCATAAGATAACATGGCAGACAGGTGACATCAGCTCATTAATTCGCATGAATATAAATTTATTAAAATATTGAAAATAAAACATACAGAATTGAAAATTGAAACAATATTAATTAAAATCTATCTATCTAATATATAAAATTCTTGTGTCACAGTGTTTGTCTGCAAACTCCTCCGGAACGACTTCACCGATCGTTATGAAATTTGGTGTGTAAATTCTGTAGGTATGCGAATCGGACGTAAACTATTTCCCGTTTCGAAATTCTTAAAAGGGCTCCGCCCCAGTGGCTCTGGAGTTTCCCATGTTAACCTTATGAGAAATGGAATTAATGAATCTTAACAGCTGTTTCAATTAAACAAGTTGGTTCTGTTCTATGATGTTCAATAGCATTAAAGTTACAAGGATTACCAACAGGGTGCAGCACTATTATTTCTTTTACATTTATGACAACAGCTAATTTGCAACCAAAAGGTGAGTGAGCGTAGCGAACGAACTTCAACCTGGAGGCGAGTTAGCGTAGCGAACGAGCTAACCTGAAGGCAAGTGAGCGCAGCGAACGAGCTCCAACCTAAAGGTGAGTGAGCGTAGCGAACGAGCTCCAACCCAAAGGTGAGTGAGCGTAGCGAACGAACTTCAACCTGGAGGCGAGTTAGCGTAGCGAACGAGCTAACCTGAAGGCAAGTGAGCGCAGCGAACGAGCTCCAACCTAAAGGTGAGTGAGCGTAGCGAACGAGCTCCAATCCAAAGGTGAGTGAGCGTAGCGAACGAACTTCAACCAGGACGTGATTGAGCGATGCGAACGAGATCATCTTGAAAATTAAACGTAACGGTACTTTCTTTCCATCGGTCTGTCTTAGGGGAAACCTATAACTTAGGCGATACGAAGTTCGCCGGGTCAGCTAGTACTATTATAAAAAAGAGGTGGTTGCTGTATGTGTGTATGTGTGTATGGGAAAAGTAAACTCGAAAAATACTGGTCGGATTGGGCTGAAATTTGGCATGATGATAGCTTACATTCCCGATTAACATATAGGCATATTCTTATTTCAAAAATCCTTTCGGGCTCCGCCCCAGTGGCTCTGGAGTTTCCCATGTTAACCTTATGAGAAATGGAATTATTGAATCTTAACAGCTGTTTCAATTAAACAAGTTGGTTCTGTTCTATGATGTTCAATAGCATTAAAGTTACAAGGATTACCAACAGGGTGCAGCACTATTATTTCTTTTACATTTATGACAACAGCTAATTTGCAACCAAAAGGTGAGTGAGCGTAGCGAACGAACTTCAACCTGGAGGCGAGTTAGCGTAGCGAACGAGCTAACCTGAAGGCAAGTGAGCGCAGCGAACGAGCTCCAATCGAAAGGTGAGTGAGCGTAGCGAACGAGCTCCAACCTAAAGGTGAGTGAGCGTAGCGAACAAACTTCAACCAGGACGTGATTGAGCCATGCGAACGAGATAATCTTGAAAATTAAGAAGTTAAACGGGGCAAAGCCCGCGGGTTACAGCTAGTATCTGTATATTTTTAAGCGAAGTCAATATTGTCATAGTCCAGTAACCAATCTTTCATAAATACACAAATGCCATTAGATGCTTCCAAATAAAAACAGCTGTTACAACACCACTTGCGACGTTGCCAGTTCGAAGGTCGCGGCCTGGAGTTAAAGGCGGCCGTGGTGCCAGCACGGCCACCTTTAACTCCAAGCCACAGCATTCGATGCGGAAACATCGTCAGTAAATGCTGTTGCAGCTCGTATTACAGCTGTTTTGTTTGGATTTAATACTTTAATACTTTACAATGAAATTGAGACTATACAACGTAGGTATTTTAAGCCAAGTAGGAATGGAGATGAGTATAGGATGAGTGGCGCTAATTTAGCTGTTACAACCCTGCTTGTGACGTTGCCACTTCGAAGACCGGGGTCTGGAGTTAAAGCACGGCCGCCTTTAACTTCAGGCCACGACCTTCGAAGTGGCAACGTAGCAAGTGGTGTTGTAACAGCTGTTTTGTTTGGAAGCAGCTAATGGTATTTTTGTATTTACGAAAGATTGGTTACTGGATTATGACAATATTGACTCCGCTTAAAATGTACAGATATAATTTTTTTAATTCATATTGTTTCGGTTTTCAATTCTGTATGTTTTATTTTCAATATTTTATAATAAATTTATGTTCATAAATTTAAATTTAAATAAATAAAGTTCGAATTAATGAGCTGATGTCACCTGTCTGCCATGTTATCTTATGGGACGTCTGTCACTAAACAACACCACTTGCGACGTTGCCAATTAATTCTTCCAGCCGCGGCCTGTAGTTTTAAAGGGAGCCGTGCTCCACTCCAGTTATAATCTATTCATCCATCTCAATGAGTCCAGCTGGAGCTTAACAAACAGCTGGTCTATGCCATCGCCGGACCGACGACCTTCTCACCGCAGTATTTCACCTCCCTTTTTTTAGAACCTTTGGAACAGTTACACGGAACTGTTTGGGATAATGTTCAATACAACTGTGACAAAAAGTATAGAATAGGTTAGGCGAAACCGTTATATTACAAATAGCTCCGTTCCTTTTCAACTTTATTATTTTTCCTGCATAAAAATTTAATTAATATGATATACCTTTTTTCCTCCTCCTCATAATAATAACAAGTCTTTTATAGACATGGACATAACCTGTAAGTTAGTTAACTGGTTTCGTTTATTTAATTATTCTTACATTACATCACGAAAACCGGCTTATTCTTAAAAGACAATGATATAATAGCATATTAAGGAAAACTATTCAAAGAAATTGCACAGTTTTGTTAAATTTGCTAACAATGAGAAAGGTTATAAGGTATAAGGTATTGTTGATGGAGCAGGAGTCACAATGAAAAAGCACATCCAAATTAAAATCAAAAGTTTTACTATTATATTTATAGTTATATTTTGGATACAGTATTGTGAAGTTCATAATTATAATAAATTTAACTTACCTTCTTCTGTTTCAAAATTCAGCTCCCCAACTATTATTTCAATGGCATGGGCTTCTTCCAGATGCTGGATCAAGTTTTCAAACCACGAAAATTGATGAGAGCAATCACCCTCTGCTCTGGGCCTTTGGGCAAATAAGCCTTTTCGGGTTGTTTGAACAGTCAGATTGTTCACTACAACAACTATCATGCACATTACGTGTATGGCGCGTTAAATTAAATTTACTAGCAAAAGTGTTTGTCACAAAATGAACATTCAAACTTTTTTGTATTAATATCAGACATACTGATCCAGTAACTCTTTAACTTGAAATAACACCATCGATTTGAGATAAAGTTTCCAATCACTTGACAAAATGGAGGTTAAAGACAGAGATCCACGAAAAACAAAATGAACGCCTAAAAAGGAAATGGAATGGAACTCTTTGTCTGTAATGTAACGGTTTTAACAAATCTATTCCAAACAGTTCCGTGTAACTGTTCCAAAAGTTCAAAAAAAGGAAGGTGAAATACTGCGGTGAGAAGGTCGTGCCGGACCGTCGCTCTGTGTCGGCTGCAAATTTTATTGTTCTTGGTGTCATTGCAAACATTGTTGTAATGATAGGGACTACAATTAATTAAATTACAGTGTTATAGTATTTTCAATAATGTTGTCCTTTAGAAACTGAGTGAGTTAATTTTACACCCACATGAATGTAAAATTTGCAATCTTTACTCATTTTACAATTGAAAACTTATTTTTAGGTTAGGTACTATAGGCTTATCTAGTTATCAATGTTGTGGTCACTAGTATTTACTCGATCTTTCTCAAAACCAGCAAGCCAACGTTTCTCTGGGTAAGATTAATCTATAAAGCTAAGTTATCAATTAAGTAGTTGAGATGGTGATGCCACCTAGGTGTTACAGGAGCCTTAAACAAATATTTTGGATTGTGTTTAGTTCACTGTACATGCTTCTCTCTTCTTAATGATGACAAATTTGAAATAACAAGTCATTACATATGATAGGCCAAATCATGATAAGTTTAGTGCTCACTTCGAGTATGCCTACTCATAAGTGATCCAAGCCAGAGTCCTGATTGCTTAATAACAACAAAGTAGGCCTATCTTACCTACTTTGTTATTTTTTTGTTTGTTAGCAACAAGTCCAAAAGCATTGTTACTTAACATTATTAAAAAAATAGAGGATACGCGTCCAGTAACCGGACATGGATTAGGCGTCCATCAGTGACGTCACAGGGTTGTTGGGGCCCGGAATGCCATTACCACAACGATACGATGCACAGCCATCAGTGTTTGTGGTACAGTGGATAGAGTGGTCGGCTGATATGTAAGAGGTACCTGGTTCGAATCCCATCAGTAACCTTAACTTTTTGTCAAAGATTTTGCTTCGAATGCCATTTCTTCTAAACTGTAAGTTTAAATATTTTGTTAGAATTTTTTGCATTTATAGTTTTATTGTATGAACAGAATTTAACCTTCATTTGATTTTTCCACTATCAGCAAGTTTGGTGTTTTAGGTTAGGTTATGACAGTAACTGCCGGACGCCTAATCCACGTCCGGTTACCTCTGTGGTTACCTGTATCCTCTGTGTATTAAAAAGTTACCATTTAAAGGTAGTGCCTGAAAGGTTTTGGGAGGGCACATGTAATCAGGCTTTTTAAGTTAATTGTTGATCCTTGAATTAATAATGCCTAATTCATCTTCATGTGCCTTTAGGACCAACTGAGATGACAAAACAGTGCTGATTTACCTGAAATCTGTCATTTATTAACATTTGTAATCCTGTGTTGCAGTTTAGACCTTAACCTTACAACTAATTTCAATCAATGTTACATGCACCTTAGTTACGTAAGCCTCTTTGATTGCAAACTTCATAAAAAATATTACTTTATAATTAAATTTAAATTTTTTTGGGCTAGAGTTCTGTAACACAAATATTTTGCTCGCAACATTGGAATTATAGCCTATTAGCCCTGCTTGACTTACAAACATAGGCCCTTTAATTGTTAGGTCCATAAGCTCACTTTACATTAAAAGTTTCTTTCTTGTAAGTTATTAAATAGCCTAAATGATCTTAACCTAACCATGTCTCATAGGATAGTATTCAGCAAATTATAGAGCTTCTTCCTGGTATTAAATAATGAGCTTAACTGTGTCTTATAGCCTATAGGATGGGATTCAGCAATGTGGAGGCAGATCCTCTCCTTTGGCTGCCGGCCGCGGGCTGTCATACATGATCCGAATTCTACAAAAACCGAACGAATGTATTCTCGATCCGGTATTTTCGGTCGATACTTTTGCGTGACTGTGACGTCAGTCTCGGTCAAAATTAGATACCAAAAAGTGCTCACCTTTAATTAAACGATCTTGACTGATGAAACAGCTGGTGTTAGCCTATTCAGCAACAAAGCTTATCATCTCACACCATTCTACACTCATCCTTCACTCATATTTGGGTAAAAATATGCCTCAAGGTGGTGTCCCCATATCAGTTAAGTTAGGCTAATTGATAATTGCTATGGAGACTCTATCGAATTAGCAAGTGTTGTGTAACTAAACAGCTCTTAAAATATTGGCATATTGATTCACATAAGTGATAAATTAAAGTAAGTTGTGTAAGGTTTAGAATGGAAATCTCATGTAAATTATAATTTTAAACCTTAGACCCACCTTTGTGTTTTTACAGCTTCCAAAAGTTAAAATTTGAAAACATCGTTCAAAATGTGAAACATAGTTACCTTTCGAACCCAAAGAAGTATAAAATTGGTGAGAAGTGCTCAAGAATAAATGTTATATTAAGACTGAAACAACCTTTTACAACTTTGACTGTGGTAGCGGGTGTCAGTGGCTTGGGTTTGGTCAAGTTTTGTGTTCGTCCTAATGTTTACTGTAAACCAGCTGAGAGTAAAGATGACAATCCACAGTTTGATTGGACCAAGTTCTTTGAACTCATCAAACCAGATGTTTTGTGCCTTATTGGAGCTATTATCGTAAGTAGTCCTACCTATACTAACTGTAAGTTAAAGTTTTTATTTTCACTGCCATTAAATTTGAAGCAGTTTAGCAGAGCAGTGATTATTTGGCTTTCTCCTATAATTTGGACATCATTTATATCAATATAGTATAATATTTTGTTGTAACGATTTTCATCCTTCACAAATACCAGATCCTATCACATTGTTTCATTGTATTTTTTTTTAATAAACATAATTCATTCATTTATTCATTAAGTTACCTATCCACAAGCATTGTATTTGTAGCCTATACTTAAACGTCTCTAAAGTAGCTACCAATATAGTTTTTATGCGAGTTCATATGCATCTTTTTATATGCCTATTGAGTGTAAATCCAGAATATTCATTTTATAAGCAATTTCAATACTGTATAAAAAAAACATGATTCAAAATGCTTTTGAAAAATCTGATGTAAAGCTATTTATTTTTTATGTGAAACTTAATATGGTCATATCCTAGTAGAATTGTGTTCGATTAGAATAGATTATGTATACTTAATACACTGATTTACCCTACTACATCCTTTTTACCCGTCCTTCTTATCGATTTAATTAATACAATTGAGGTGTAATTTTAAAGGATCATCATCCAAAGCTAAAGCTATTTTAAAGGTCCAAAGCTTTCACACGAGGTCCAGAAATAAGTTATACAGAAGGTCACATAAACGTTGCTGACTTTCTAAATAGCCCTTGTATTTAGCCTTTTTTTTTGTTGAGAATTGGTAAAATTTCATATGACTTGTACTTCTTACAGGCCATATTAGCTGCTGCCGTTTTGAACATACAACTGCCCAGACTTCTTGGAGACATAGTTAATGTGATGACGAGGTTCATGTCATCGGTCGGGTCACAGGCTAGCTTCAGTTCAGAGATGCGAAGCCCGGTGTTCAAAATACTCGGTCTTTATATTGCACAGGTGAGGTTCGAAATCATAGCATTCAAATTTGCTGAAGCCACAAAGGTAGAGTTTAGTTAAACTGAAACCATATTCATGGAAAATTATAAATAATTCAAATTTAAAGTATGTAGATTTGTGCTGCGTAACTTTTCAAAGTTAAAGTATAAAAAACAGTATACGTATATAATTTATTTGTGACTGTTATCTGTTATGTTGAGTTCTACATTACTTTCTAGCAGTCTTATTGGACAGTAAAAGGTTATATTACCAGTGCTTCAATGAGTGTCCTTTTGAGTCAGTTGTAGGTCGGCCACTCAAGTTCCAAGAACAGCACAGTAGCCTACACTCTAATTCATCAACTTATGATAGGGCACTATATAGTATTAACGCACATTTTGCAGTATCAATTGATTAAAATAAAACCAGCCAGGTATCCTTTTAAATTGAATATTTTCCTTAATCTTAAGAGTTAATTATATTTACATTATTAAGTCAGTGTATAAAAGAAGGTTGGTTTCCTATTTTCTCTTACTTAGATTAATAGAGTCTTATTTAGATGTGATGTTCCAGGCTTCAGCCACGTTCCTCTACATCTATCTGCTGTCCGGGGTAGGGGAGAGACTTGCTACAAGGATGAAGGTTCTGCTCTACTCCTCTATTCTGCGCCAAGATCTCCAGTTTTTTGACAAACAACGAACTGGCGACCTAGTAGACTGGTAATACAATGGTATAATCAATGTTTTACATCTTTTGCTACAGAGCTTACCTGCAAATGGTCCAGAATTTATAATAGATGATTGCAACTCTTATTGAGCTCTGTTTGATAAATTGAAATGAATGCTGTCATTTTCATGCTGTCTACCCAAATTACCTTTAGCAATTCAATTACGCTTGGCTTACATATGCTTTTTTATTGACTTATCAAAGCTACAAAACATCTCTACACGTGAAATAGACACTCTAATGGTTTCCTATGCAAATCATGTTAGAAAGTATTAAAAAATTACCAGTCGATGACCTTTTACTCAATATAAATTTACAAAACATTACAGTTTTTAGAACAATTTTGAGAAATTCTGGAAAAAGGAAGAATTATGTGTGAAGAATTATAATTTGAGAAAATTACAAATATTTTCTTCTACTTTCCACAGTACAAAGTTTTATGAAAAACATCTTTATTACAATAGAAGAAAAGATCCGATCTATTCTAATGAAGACTTCAATGAAAAATCCATAAAAATATGAAAATGAAATTATAAAGAGATTAAATTAATACTAAACCTAAGTTAAAAATTAATTATTTAACTGTGGATACAATGTATATTGTCAAGACAATAAAGTATTTGTTATTTATTTATGATTTTATTTCATATTGTGTAAAAGATAAAAATTTTCCTTAGATTTATTTCTTTACAGAAACAATTAATTGACTGGTATTAGCAAAATGTTTAGTTTCCATTAGGCCCTGGGTACGATACGAGCGGTGAGCGGGTCTGACATCGGATCTCATTTAGTTGCGTGTAAATTCCTTGAGGGTGGCCACGATGCGGCGAGCGGCACCGCTCAGCACTGCTTATGGTTTCAAGTCAAAACCAATTTTCGCGAAAACGCCGCTCGCCGCTCAGGTGAGTCATGCTTCAGTTCGGCCTAAAATGACAGGGAAACCGCAGCAAACGTGCGATACGGGTTGATACGTGAGGTGCAGTCTAGGGAATGTTTGTGGAATGATCATACGAAAGTTTTAAAACACTTCACCAGAAAAGCATGGGACCAAGTTAGGGTTAAGGTTTTTCTAAAAACTTAAGTTTTTCTTTAAAGGCAAACAATTGTCAGATAGCAACAATAGTTGCAATACGTCTTGCAGGTAAGCATAGTTTACCATTTTCGACTAAACTGACTCATAAAACTGGGGAAATTTGATGAGCGTTATAAAAGTGCCGCTTGTATCGTAGCCACCACCGTCGCTTACATGCCGCTCAGGTTGCCGCTCGTATCGTACCCAAGGCCTTAGGGGTTTAAACAGTAACATTTTGTAGAGTTATTAAACCACATGAAACTATGGAATGGTGTTGGTAAAATGTTAAATCAGTAATTTAATGGCTAATTTTTTGTATACAAATGCTTAGGAAACAATTCTTGTTTGTTTTTCTATATTATTGAACCGATTACTGGCTAGTTTATGAATAACTTACTAGTAGTGATCTGAAATTATTAATCACTACACTTAGCACTTTCATTCCCAATATTAACTACAGGTTGTTGTTTTACATGGCTCCCGTTAAGTTTCTACTTTTATATAGACAAAGTGCATTCAGAAAAAAACCACTTCACATTTTGTTATATTCCAGCATAACATCAGATGTTCAGGAGTTCAAAAGTGCCTTCAAGATGGTTTTTGCCCAAGGTCTTCGCAGTATTGCGCAGGTAATTTTAATTTTAAACAATTTAAACCTGTCCTTTATTTTCTCTTCAGATCTGCAAGAAAATATTGTAAAACGTGTAGGCCCACAGTGGACGAGTCTTCTCAATTGGAAACACATTTATATGCCCCACACACGGGCCCTTGAAAAATTACATGGTCACTGACTTCTTTGTAATCTTTTTCTTTTTGATTGACAAAGTGGTCAGTGACAATGAAATATTTCAATTTCAATGGACCCAAACACCCAACTGTGGGGAGATAATGACCTACCCGGGTAGCTGATAGGTCCGTGCACCAACTTACCGAATACACACTGTGGTGTGTTCTTGGCTTAAGAACTAGTTAAAGAACTAAGTATCAAAGGGCGTGTTCTGGCATCATGTATTGGTGCATCGGTGCAGATGATACAGTGACTAACTCTCCAAGAGTCTTGAGATACAAGAGCAGTTAGACACCGGTTTACGGTACACATCATCGGATTATAATTTAAACGTCAACCTACTCTTTTCTTTTTTAAATTGGACAACTTACCCTCACAGAATAAATTACTCACTTATTATGTAGTATAACCTATCAAACTGATAAACAGTCGAACATTTATTCGATGGACCTGCCATCTTGGTGTAGCTGCATACTGGTGTCCAAGAAACTGACCAATCAGATGCCGCTGGTGTATTGTGCACCGCACGATTTCTCCTGTGCACGAATCTTGCACCAGTGGAGGAAGAAAGAGGAAATATCTGTCTGCTAGGTAAACTCACCGGGCTCCCAGAACTACACATTATTTCCACCGGTCTTGCACCAGTGGACCGGTTCGTATTCCCCAAAGGCACTTAAAGTTGGCATCTCATTCATTTAATATACATTGTTTACTTATCTTAACCTTAAAATTGTTGTTGTTCCTTACCCATATTTGCCTGTTTATTGTTATTTTTCCTTTATGTGACAGCAACCTAAAAATCTAATCTAATCTACAATCCTGGCTAAGAAGCAGCTGGTCTTAGTCACTAATAAAGCTACACAGATCATCTCACTCCACTCTACACTAATCCTGCATTCACATTCCGCTTAAAATACGCACCAAATTTTGTGTAGCTGTTTTAAGGAATTGAATTGAATATAAATTGGTACAATAGCCTATGAAAATATTAAGGGTGTTTATTCAGGACAAGGGTGTGTTGCTAGCGTAGTGGTTAGCATCTCGGACTTTGGTGCAGGAGGCTCAATCTCCAGCATAATTACAAACATTTAACGGGGTGTGGACCGCTTTCACTTAAAAAGCGTTAGTGATACTTTCTTTGGATGGATACACTTATGCCTACCTATATATTTTGCTTTACCCTTGTATGTTTTGTTTGTGCAGATTGGAGGGTGTGTAGTGTCCATGTACAGCCTGTCTCCGCCCATGACTATGGGAATGTTGGTGATAGTCTCCACCGTCATTGTTGGAGGTAATTAATGATAAACATTAGCAAAAACCAGCAAAATTGTGATATTTTTAGTATGTTAAGAATAATATAGCCGTGTGTATTTGTTTACTGGGCTGGCTGCATATTATAACAGCATCGGATACATTCGCATAAAGCTCATAGACGTAGTGGACAAGAAGCAGATATTTCTGCCGATTCTTTACATAGACTGGAGTTTTTACAGTAATCCCTAGGTTCACCACTATGGTGTTACTTACTCGAGCTCTTTAGAAGCACCGTGACCTTGTAAGTGGCATGCCCCCCTTCCAGTGTTCAACACGTAAATTTTGTATGTGAACATCTTTCAATGTTAGGTTATTTGATATAAGTTTTTTTTTAATTTCATGTTCTTTTTCCAAAATAAAATGTACAATTGAAATAGCATAACCACTTTTAAATTTTTGATTTAGATACCTTTTAATAAAAACAAGATGCAGATATATCCGCCATTATCTTGATATTCATGGACAGGTAGTCAAAGTAATTTGTTATGTTAAAACTTATGTTGTATTAAGAGTAGGAATCGATAAAATTAAAAGAAATAAAAATGAATATTTCTCATTTTACAAATTTTGCCTGTTTTAGGCCAAGACACCGGCTTGTACGGGAAGAGTTAATACAATCTAAAATCAGTTTTTCAGCCGAAAAAGAGTTTAACAACTGAGTGATGACATGGTGATGTAGGTACAATGCTGGGCTCACTGCTGCGAGTTCTGTCTCGCCAAGCCCAACATCAGTCCTCCGTTGTGACTGTGATCAGTGAGGAAACTATCAGTAACATCCGCACTGTGCGAGCCTTCGCAAACGAACAACTCGAGTGTGACAGGTAGAAATCATGTCATACAGTCTAGTACCATTATAAGTTCTTAAACCCAGACTTTTAAATATTATCTCTGTTTAAAACCTACTTCCTGTTTGCTCTCAATTTTACTGTAATATTCAAACTTACAGAATCGGATGATTTAGAATCAAGGAAACGTCCATCTTTGTATTTTTTTTTGGCGACCTTCATATGGTAGGACCCTAGGCTCTAGCATATTAGAAAAATTAGAAAAATCTTTGCTGCACGTGGTTATTCTAGGATATAGTAATTACTGTATGTATATAATCCTTATTTTAAGTATTGCTTTTATTAATTTTTAAGACTCAGTTGTAGTTAATTTATTTTATTTTTTTCCACGATTTCTTGGAGTGATGTGTGTAACGTATGTTGTATATATTATCCTAAGAACTGTGGGATGTATTTTTAGATATTAATAATATGTATAATTTAGGTTAGATCTGACTCTATTCTTTGTAAACAATTTACATGTGACAGAATAAAGAAGTTTTGAATTGAATTGAATAGCCTGGGACTGTTTCACACATTACTTCAGGCTAGGTTTAGGGGTAGTAGTATTATCATAAAGTTAAAAGCAATTGTTAAACGGTGGTATTTGAACTGAGGATTTTGTTCTATTACTAGACTGTACCATATTCTGATAATTTGTACCATAATGTTACCATAGTTTGACACTCATACCATCATGTAACCACAATTTCTGTTTAGGTTGGCAATATGCAAAATCAGGCGATATTTCTAATAAAGTAGCTCATGGCTATTTCCCGTGACGTCATATCACGCCACCATCACACCACCTTTCCGAACAAGCCTAAATCTCCTCTCCTCACCTCATATGTTTAAATATTTAATTGTGGTTTTGGTTTTCTTTCATAGGTTTCAAGATGAAGTAGAAAAAGCGCAACATCTTTACCAGCGGCTGGGTATGGGTATTGCAGCATTTCAGGTAGGGTTCTAGACAAGCAATATTTGTGAGAATATAGTAAAGTTTAATCAAATTATTACAGTTACAACAGATGCTAGGCCTATTTATTTTTTTAATGCTTTGCACACACCTAGTTATTATTCAATTAAAATAAACTTAGTCTAAGTGTTGCTTCTTCAGTTGTCTTTCAGAGTGTGAAAAAGTAGTGGGCATATTGTAATTTTGAGAAATTAGCTGTTTTGTAAACTAATCATAAGTAGGCTATGAAAATGCCAATTCGTATAACAACTACTATAGACAAAAACTACTATTTCAAGATGACTGTATCTGACAGGCAGGCACCAATCTGTTCCTGAACGGTGTTGTGTTGGCATCACTGTGTATGGGAGGTTACCTGATGGCTACGGAAGAGTTGCAGCCTGGCGCACTGATGTCGTTCTTGGTGGCGACACAGACAATACAACGGTCACTGGCTCAGCTGTCGCTGCTGTTTGGCAACTATGTGCGAGGCATGCAGGCCGGCTCTAGAGTGTTTGAGGTGAGGTTACCTTGTAGACTCTCCACTGTATATGAGACCTACTGATATGATAGCCATCCAGAAACTTGATTTTGTTTTGGAAATGAAAATAAACAATAGGACAATTTTGTAATATAGCCTATACTGTTAAAAGCCACGCTTAAATACAACAACACTTTATATTGTTTTACGCCAGGTCACCATGAAAATTAAAACACTTGTTACAGCCATACATGAGATTAATAATTCCTTCCTCGCAAAATTCTGCCACTTGTGTCTACTACCAGCTTTTCACTTTTTGCAGCAGCTGTTTGTTGGCAAAACGCTGCATTGCCAGCTACTTCATGATTGATGGAAAGAAGTGGTAGTCACTCAGCACAAGGTCCGGACTATATGTGAGGAAACCCAATTGAATGATTCCAGAAATTCTCGTTTTCGATTTGCTGTAATTTTAGCTATCGTTTTAAAGTTTCAAAATCTTCAAGCTCAACTTCCCCTCATTGTACATTTCACAAAGTTGTCAATAAAATTAAAATCGTTTTCAGTTATTTACATGCATGAACAAATCAAAATAAAAAAGTGCACAGACATCACTCTATTTATTAAGGTAAATATTTCAATCAGCCACTAACTAGATGGTTTAAAACACAAACCACTCATTGAACTTGATGCTAACTGAGTGGCAAGGCGTCCTGGAACCAAGATGGTCACAGTAGCTCTGGTCTTTGCGGGTACAGACGGAAACATAATATACTTTCTGAATAGCCCTTGTATTATGTTTGAGGAATTTTTGACATCAAAGTGTGTAATCTCATCTTGCTTTCAGGTTTTTCCTCATGACGACCAGAGTGTGACTGGTCAAGATCTATTTCTCCTGTTTCATCTTTTATTTTTATTTCTCATCTCGTAATGTTTACAGTGTAAGTGTTAGAAGACAACGTGTTTGATTATATTCCTAGTCTTACTAGTTACTACAAAATGAGAAAACAATAACCAACCCATAATGAAGTAATTGCAAAAGTGGTGTTGCAAGATACCTGCATAAACCACCATTTTCAATTTTTATTGGTGATTCGGAAGCCATAACCCATTCATGCTATTAATTGTGGCGTTTTTATGTATTCACCTCTGACAGCAAGTTGTGTTGTTGTGTATGTTTGTAAACTGCCGAAAAAAAAATTTTCATAAAACCACAAGTTGTATTTATGTAATCCTAAGATACAAAAGTTTGTATTTTTCCAGTACATCAACACTGAGGAGAAAATCCCACTGTCAGGTGGCAAGAAGATCCCGTTCCACTCTTTGGTGGCTGATGTAGAATTTGACAATGTGACATTCTCCTACCCTACTAGACCTCAGCAGGTGAATAAACTGCACAAAGTTTGTAAATTTTGTCGTATCTTAGGTGTTAAGGAATAGTAGTTTACGCAACGATTGTGTAAACATAGTGTTAACGACACGAGTAGAAAATTTAAGGTACGAGCCTTGGCGAGTGCCTTAAAAACTTCTACGACGGTGTTTTAATTACTAAAAATCACTACTCATAACTTCTAAGAGAGGTTATGTTTTTGTTTATAACCTATAATTGCCACTGACAGTGATGCAACGAAACATTGTATCAAATACTAATTGCACCAATCAACAATTAAATTGACCTGAACAGCTGATTAGTTGAATTTCGGATCATTACAATTTTGCTTCTCCTCTCTCAATCCTTGAACCTCATTGGTCCGTTGCCCGTGTTGTTATGAGTAAAACTATGCTGTTATGAAAGTAAACAATGCTGTTATGAGATACTTTTCAATTCTAAGAACTGTACTGAAACGGCTACTTTAAAAACCGGTCGTAGGTAAACACATTTAACCGCTTATTTTCTATCTATTTCATCCTCGCTTCCAGAATACTTTTTTTTTGAGTCAGTTAAAATTTTACTTGAGCTAAGCTGATTGTTAGGTGACATCAAATGTTTGGAATATTTTTGCTTTACAACAGAAAGAACAGGAGAATGCAAAGAAGCAAAAATAGTGTATTTCTTTATTAGAGCTTAAAGTGACCCAAACTGACGTTGGAAAATTACTGAGGGTTAAAAATACACTTGGCCCAGGTAATGAGCTATAAGGTTCATCACTGTGCCATAATTTAAACTAACTAATCACAAAACAACAGTTTGGTACATTGTTTACACAACTTTAATTAGATCTCAAAACTATTTATTTAGAAGCAATAAGTTACATATTCCGCCAACACACCAATAAATATAAAGCAAAAATCATCATTTTCATATAAATTAAATAAAGGTTTGGCGGAAGTGTGCAATGACAGTTTTTGTCAATCTGGACAATTTTCCTCAGAAAAATCAGTGAATGCTACTGGCTGATATCCTTGACTCCATCAGATTCTTTTACACCCCAGGGAGAAAAAAGCTACTTAAGACCTGTGATGTGATGCATGCAGGTAAAACAAGGTGTTTTAACTGCAGTGTAAAATGAACAAAAAACATAGTTTTATCAATTTTGATTGGAAATTCTTTGTTTTGCTCTGAAACAAAACTACACAATTTGCATTCCAAAAGAAATTTGCTAGTAGTTAAAATTAAAAATTATTGATTTGCCACTAAAATCCATAGTTAATCAAATGTCCCCGTTTTTGTATGGATGCAAAAACATATTTTCGCTCAATTGTAAGTAGCAAACGTGTTAAGTAGCCTTTATGAGGTAGCTACCATTCATAAAGAAATTATAACCAAATTAGACACCGTTAGATTCATTATATTTTTAAATTTCTACAAAAATCTTTTAAACTTACAAAGCTACAAATTTGATTGAAACTTTAAGTTGGACTTATGAATTAATTGAATAATTAGATTAATTCATTCATATATTAACTGATGTATTTTATCCAGGTGATCCTGAAAAATTTCAATCTAAAACTACCAGCAGGAAAAACGGTAGCAATTGTTGGAACTTCTGGTAATGGGAAGTCCACAATAGCGGCTCTCCTAGAAAGGTGTGTATATGGTTAATGCTGTAAAATTAACATAAATTATTTCTAGATAGTTGTATCAAAAGCTTATACTTTTAACTAGATGTAGTACTTCGCAGATTAGCGTATGAGTTTCTACGATAAATTCAGAAGTAAAATTTACACTGATCTAAGCGAAACTGGAAGACACTTAACTTGTTGGGTTTTTTAATTGAAGCTGTACCGTGTTCATATAAACTCGCGTATTACATTTTGTGTAGAAATAATGCAATGACCATTTAAAATTTAGACAGCATAACCATAAAATGGAACACCATAAAACTGGAACTGGAGCTAGCCAACAACATAAATAAATACCTAAAAAAAGTTTTCATAATATTAAAAAAAAAAACTGCATCTGAACTCTGCAGCTACTAGGTTATTTTACTTTCTGCCCAAAGCTCTTGCAGAAATAACATAACATAACATTGGAAAGTGTTAAAAGTTTTAAATATCTAGGGGTATTTGTTGATCATAATTTAAAATGGGACTCTCATATTGCATATATAAAAGATAAACTTAGAGTGTTTGCCTCAAAACTTTATTACTTACGAGACTACCTACCGTTTAAAACAATGAAACTAATTTATGCATCTATGTGTGAGTCACTTCTTAGGTATGGATTAAGATCATGGGGAAATGCATCAATATCAGAATTACAGAAACTACAGACTGTTTAAACAAGAATATTAAAGATTATCACTAAGCTTGATTCTGCTGTTGTCAGTGAAACTCCAATTTTGTGTTATCAGTTAACAGGGGTTTTACCAGTGGAAAAGCTGTTCACTTATTTGTTAATAATAGATTATTATTTTTCAAACAGGTTCAAAGTCGTGCATAGATACAACTCTAGGAAAGAATTTTTCATTGTTCCTACTATTAATAATAAATACACAAAGCGTACAAGAAACTATTTGGTTCCTACATTGTTTAATAGTTTGCCACAATGTATGAAAGAAATAAAAACATATAAATTATTGAAGGTAAAACTAAAAAAATGGTATATGACCGAGTAGTTAACGTTTTTAGAGAACTCTTATTTATTGTTGTTGTTAAATCATAGTATAATACAAGTTGTGTCTTTTGTTGTTTTTCAGTTGCTGTTATTCTTTACAGAATTTTATATATATACATATATCTCTTATCAACTGTTAAAAATATAGTTCCTGTTCCTGTTTTATTGTATGTTATAAAGTTTGTTTCAGCTGTTATTATTCCTTGTTAGATATTTATTTGTTTGTTGAATGTTTGTTATCTGAAAGTATATACTCATGTTAAATAATTTTAAGAATATTCCTTGCATTTACACTTGTTCTTATTTTTGAATTTAATTTATTTTTCTTAAGTTTCTGTACAGTAATAGTTCACACTGACTCAGGATCAAGATAAAGATGGAAAAGACAATAGTATTATAAGAAACGCTGCGGACAAGCCTTTTTTAAGGCTTATGCAGTTTTGTATTATATACATTCATTGTATATGTGCTGTACCAAGTAATAAATAAATAAAAATAAATAAATAAAAAAAAATAAAAAAAATAAACACTTTCACTGTTAAAGGTTCTATGATGTAGATGAAGGTCACATTAGACTGGCTGGTGTGGACCTGAGAGAGCTAGACCCGAGCTGGCTGAGAGGTCAGACTATTGGACTGATCAACCAGGAGCCTGTGTTGTTTGCTACGTCCATTTTAGAAAACATCCGATACGGTCGACCGTCTGCCTCTGACAGTGAGGTAGATTGTAAATTTTAATTAAATCACTATACTACTGGTTTCTGGAATAGAAAGGTTAGGGAAGGCCTATAGGTGTTTCTTGCTACTTTTATATTTGATATGTGGCACCAATCGTCTTAGTCAATAAGCATATTTATTGACATATTTAGAAAAAATTGTAAACTGACGCTACTACTATTCTTAATGAATGTGTAAATAAAGATTAATTGTCTATTGTCTAAGCTAAGGGGTGCCAAAAAGGCCAAAGGAATAAGTGGTAGCATATAAAAATCCATATTATTGCCTTCCTCCTTAAATGACAAAAACGCCATCCAACCTCCATCTCTATTCCACCAACAGAATTCTGACTAGATTTTAATCAAGTAATGTACAGCATTGTGAAAGCTTGTAACACTTCTTGAATTTTAAAATAAAATAAATACGGAAAGTAAATAAAAGATACGTCTAATAACACTTTAAATACAACTCACAAGACGTCAGCATTCTGTCAATAGAAAATTAGTATCAGAGACGAGAGGTAAGATATCCCGTAGTAGCCACATCCCAATCCCTTTAAACAATCTTAATTCTCTAGCCACAATAACGCTGTAGCGCTGTATAACGCTGTTTACTAAAAGAATATATTGTGTAAAAATCGTGGTATGTGTAAATCGTTTTGATGTCAGATTGATAGTTGAGTGATTATAGTACTGTACTTGCCTTGTAATCAAAAGGTAGCTGGTTCGATCCTATGTTACATTGTTTGTATTACCTGTCACTTGTTTGGTATTACTATGTTAATTATTCTTTGTCCCATCAGGTGTACGAGGCTGCTAGGCTGGCCAATGCTGACAGTTTTATTCTACAGTTCCCTGATGGCTACAGTACCATTCTTGGGGAGAGGGGAGTTACCGTGTCTGGGGGTCAGAAGCAGAGAATAGCTATCGCCCGCGCTCTACTGAAAGATCCATCTATCCTCATACTAGACGAGGCTACCAGGTCAGTTGCAAGGGAAAGACTTGATCACCTATAATTGCAAGGGGAGGTGTAAGGCTGTAGCATACCTTCGATTTTTGTTTGGTGCTATATTTGTAATTAATTAATATCAGGGGTCTGCAAGCCAGAGTTTTTTTTACTTTGGACCGGGTTAAAACATTGACCCTGAGGTCTTAAGCTAAAATTGGGTTGCATTAAAAAGTATTATTTTACTACAGTTACCTAACAATTTACATGTTCTCTCATTGATTTGAGAAAGGAAAGTGGCCAATTCGCTCATCAGTGAGACAGTGTTAACATTGTCTCACTCTAATTACTTTGTCTCACTCCAGATTTAACAGAGCATAACATGAAATCTGATGAGCTGAGCAGATTTAATTTAAACGGTTTTATGATAAATTCAGATTACACTCGGGAAAAATTTAAAAGTGGAGGTGTTTTGATATTATCTAAGCTTGGTTTAAAGTGGAAGCAGGTGAACTATGCTAATATTGAAGTGTTAAGGGAAGAAAAAGTGTTTGAGTTCTGTTGTTCAAAATATTTTTTTGTAGGGGATGAAATTCTTTTGGTTGGTATATATAGATCACCTGCAAGTAGTGTTAATGAATTTTTAAGTCGATTAGGTATTCTATGTGACTATGTGTTATCAAAAAACAAAAAGGTGGTAATAGTAGGAGATTTTAATATAAATGTTTTAGTAAACAGCAAACAAAGCAAGGATTTTGATAATTTGTTAAAATCTCACGGTTTGAAATTTTTAGTAAATTTTCCAACAAGGGTCACAGCTAACTCAGTAACGGCTATTGATAACATTCTAACAAACATTCCAATCCATGAATTAAAGACCACAGGAGTCATAACTGAGCTTTCAGATCACGATGGACAAATCTTAGAAATAAATATTTTAGATAAATGTATAAAAAACAATTACATTTTTAAAAAATCCCGACAATTCTCAGAAGAAAATAAGCTCCAATTTTATCAAATGCTGGAAAAGGAAAACTGGAATGATGTTTATTTAGCACCGGTAACAGAAAAGTACAATATTTTTTACAAAACGTTAATTTACTATTTCAATTTATGTTTTGAAAATAAACTTGTCAAAATTTACAACACAAAGAAATCCTGGATAAATCCAGAAATTAAACAAGAAAAACAGGAAATTATAAAAATGAGTAGAATAGCTAGAAAAGTACAAAATAAATGTACTTTCTCTAAACTAAATAAAAGAAAAAAAATATTAAATAAAAAAATTACTGAGAGTAAAAAGAAGTTTTTTGATTTCCAAATTCATAATTCAAGTAACATTAACAAAACCACATGGAGAATAATTAATAATGAAGTTTCAAACAAAAAAAACACTTACTCAGAGAATATTAGTCTTCGACTGAATGATGTACTAATTGAAAATCCTACTTATGTTGCAAACATGTTTAATAATTACTTTATAGATGTTGTAGATAGCTTTAGTGTTAGGCAACCTTTAGATAAAAATAGAGGAACAACTAATCAAGTTAGCGATGTAAATAAAACAAAAGGGCTTTTTGAAAGTAGGATATTTAAGTGCACTCCTGTAGATGAGAAGGAAATGGAAAGAATTGTTGGTTCACTTAAGAATAAAATGTCTAGTGGTTATGATGATATACCAACTAAATTATTAAAATATGTAGGGAACCTTTTAGTAAAGCCACTTGTACATTTGGTGAATTCCTCTTTTGTGTCTGGCTTATTTCCGCATCAACTAAAAATTGCAAAGGTAATTCCTTTACATAAAAAAAACGAAGTTACTGAAATATCTAACTATAGACCTGTTTCATTGCTCCCTGCTGTATCAAAGGTATACGAGAAAGCAATGTACATTAGATTGGTAGATTATCTTGAATCAAATAAGTTATTTGATAATTCTCAACATGGTTTCAGAAATGGTAGATCAGTAATAACAGCAGCTACTGACTTCATTGAGTCCATCGTAGAATCAATTGAAAACGGTGAAAATGTTCTAGGGATATACATGGATCTCTCTAAAGCATTTGATAGTGTTTGTCATTCAATTTTGCTAGAGAAACTGGAAAGTCTTGGAATAATGGGAGTCCCCTTAAAATGGTTTCAATCTTATTTGGATGGTCGGATGCAATTTGTTGAAATAAAATCAAACAAAAACAATTATTTAACTACATTTAACTCTCATAAACGTAGAATTAAGTGGGGGGTGCCACAGGGTTCAATTTTGGGACCAATTTTGTTTTTATGTTATATAAAAGAATTGCCTAAAAGTATTGTTAATCCTCAAAAGAGTAAGATTTGTTTATATGCAGATGATTCAAATTTAACAGTGGCGGGGAAAAGTAAAGAGGAGTTGGAAATTTCGGCCTTTGTAGAATTGTATAGTATACAACAATTTCTAAAAAATAATAATTTGAATCTTAATACAACAAAAACAAACTTTATGTCCTTTTCGACTAAACAAAGTAAACAGAAACTTGAACCCAATTTGATCATTGATTCAGAATCAATAGAACAACTTTCTGAAGCCAAACTTTTAGGTCTCTATGTAGATGAACATCTAAGTTGGAATAAACACGTTGAAAAATTGTTAAAAAAGCTTAATTCTGGAGTGTACGCATTGAAAAGAATGTCTTATTTGTGCAATTTAGATGCACTTAAAAAAATATATTTCGCCCATATTCATTCTCACATAAACTATGGCATTGGACTATATGGGGCAACTACGATTAAAAATTTAAATAAAATTCTAATCATGCAAGAAAAAGCCATTAGAACTATGTTACACCTTAAAAAAGATGAATCAGTTAAATCTCACTTTAAAAATCTAAATATTTTAACAGTTTTTGCAGCGTATACTTTTGAAATAGCATGTATAGCTAAAAGAGACAGCCTAAAATATGAGCCAGTTGTGCCACATAGTTACAATACAAGACATAAAAAGAATATTGTAACTTCAACCTATAAGCTGGAATTCTCCAAAAAAAAACCAACTTTTGCTGGATCACTAATTCTAAGGAAATTGCCTGCCTCTATAAAGGAGGAGTCAAATTATAAATTATTTAAATCTAAATTAAAAAAACATTTAATAGAAAAGGCGCCTTATACAATGGAGGAACTCATTGAATAAATACCTATTCATACTTAAAATGTATTTATATCTTTAAGCTAGTTTAGTACTTTATACTTGACACTATTTTTGTACCCATGTACATGTAAGGAAAATAAAGATGTTTTGATTTGATTTGATTTGATTTGCAACGTGAAGGCACGAAATAGTGAGCGCGTAACATGCAGACAAGGTCGTATGCGCGTAAAATACGTTGACAGCACTGGCTGTAAATCAGCTGGTCAGCTGTTGTACTGTAATGCTACTTTCTCATTAAATGTCATATTAAAAGTACACTTCTGTGTAAAAATATGTCACGTTTCTTTAACAATTGATTTGTTTTATGGTTTAACTGTAGGAAAAATATAATGTGCAACTCGAGTGCAAAGTGAAATCGCCTCACTCGAGAAACCATTCCTCACTCGCATACGGCTCGTGATTAAGGATTTCTCTCGAGTGAGGCAATTGCTCACTAGTTGCAATACTACCTGAAATGCTACAATTGATTTATACATAACTTGATCTTCGCCATTCTCTGGTTAAATCGTCTTCTGTCAGGGACCCGTAGACACTGTCCTCCTTTAGGTGGCCTACTTATTTTGCTACTCCCCTGGAGATTCTACTCTAGCCATACTCTTCTTTTCTCCGGTCTTTTTCTTTATTGTATATGTGAGTTGATTGAAAATTAATGTTAATCGAGAAAGATAGGGTTAACTTATCTGGTTTAATCTGACACAAGAAATACAAACAACTTAACCTTTTCATAAAAATTAGAATAATTTCACTAACAGCATTTTCAACCAATGAAGGTTTGAAGTTTGAATTGGAAGAGTGATGTTATTAGACCTCAGGACAAAGTGCTTAAATGCGTGGAGTACACCAGATACAACGACAACTCTAGGTTATATTTTAATTAAGATGCTGATTAGTGATTGTGAAGTTCTGAAGTTGTTTTAAAAGGATATAGTTTTGCTAGCATACCTGAGATAAGTAGAGTCCAGGGGCTAATAGGTATTCAAGGTCACAGAGCATAACACTTTTATTTTGTCAACATTGGACGTCTTCAGAGAGTAGGTTGTGGAGTTAGTGAACCTATTCCTTTAGAATGGTTTTAACTTTTATTGCAATTAACCTACAAGATGGTCTGCTTGTTGACAGTGCCCTGGACACAGAGTCAGAGAAGGTGGTTCAGCAAGCTCTAGAAGTGGTCAGTCGCAACCGAACTGTGCTGGTAATTGCTCACAGACTCAGCACGATAGAGCACGCAGACATCATAGTAGTGCTGAGTGGTGGAGTCATCGTGGAGGTTTGTAACATGTGTTTTCATTGTTGAGCGTAAAAGTTGACGTTCACAAGATGTATTTAAACACCTACTTTTATGGATGTAATCAGACCCTCAAATCATAAACATTTAAAGACATTTTTTTTAGAACGCAAGAGCAACAAGAATGAAGATGTTAAATACCTTTTTGCTTTTTTATGTTCTTGCCTCCATCAATGGTAAACGTTGTACGCAACTATAACAGCCCCTGGTAATGTTTAAGGTCTTCTTTTTATGTCAAGGTAAGCTTCCGCAGCTCAGTCTATAGTCCAGATTTTAACTAACAAAATGTTGCCGACTAGTTTTGTTGCAAGGGCTACATTGCCAAAGCTTGCATTATGTCTAAACATCACAATATATAATTGCATAACAATATAAAACAACAAATATATTAGGTACACAAAACAAACAAGGATATCATGCTGAACTATCCTAGTACATTCTGGATAGACTTTCTTAAAGTGACAATACAGCATTATATGTACAATACAGGGCACATAAAATACTAGCCTAGAGCTGCTGAAACAGCTGGTCTTAGTCAGTAACAAAGCTACACAAAGCTCTACACTCATTTTAACTCCTTCGAACCTGGGTGGGGTCCCCCTCTCAATTGGTAACAATATACTTATTACATAGATTAATAAGATATTCATATTTCAGATTGGCAACCATCAGGAATTGATAAAGAAGAGAGGTCATTATTGGAATCTCATGAACCAACAGCAGTCAGAGGGTAGAGGTCCAGCGTAGAAGTTTGCCTGAAAGAGTTGTGAGGCGTTTTCTAATTTATAAAGGTGAAATAGAGAAGAGACATGTGAGAATGCAATGCTATGTTTTACTGTTCTCTTCACACACACAGATATTTTTAAGTGGCGGCGGAAAAGAATATGGTGACAGCTTATAAAATGTACCAACTACAGTGTGTTGTTTTTACAAACAATAACAAGTTTCAATACAAAAATATCGGGTTTAAAAAATTTTGCTTTAGTTTTTAATTGTGGTTTTAAATAACCCTGTAAAGGTAGGGAAAGTATGCTTCACATCTAGTTAGGGGTCTATGGGCTAGAATTGTTTACTTCTGGTCGGGTTGTGTCTACAATTTTGGGTCTGAGGCCCAAATTGGATTGCTTTTGTAAATTATTGATTTTTTTTAAATATGAAAAACAATACTACAACTCATTTATACAATACTAGCTGTACCCGCGGGCTTTGCCCCGTTTAACTTGATAAGTGAGCTCGTTCGCATGGCTCAATCACGTCCTGGTTGAAGTTCGTTCGCTACGCTCACTCACCTTTAGGTTGGAGCTCGTTCGCTGCGCTCACTTGTCTTCAGGTTAGCTCGTTTGCTACGCTAACTCGCCTCCAGTTTGAAGTTCGCTACGCTCATTCACCTTTTGGTTGCAAATTAGATGTTGTCATAAATTTTAAAAATAATAATAGTGCTGCACCCTGTTGGTAATCCTTGTAACTTTAATGCTATTGAACACCATAGAACAGAACCAATTTGTTTAATTGAAACAGCTGTTAAGATTCATTAATTCCTTTTAAATATGAAAAATCATAATGTTAACATGGGAAACTCCAAAGCCCCTGGGGCAGAGCCCGAAAGCCCGATCAGAATAAAAACCACTTAGTTTTCATATTTAATGCCCAAAGAATCAGTGTACCAAATTTCAGCCTCCTAGGTAAATGGGAAGTGGGAGAATTAGTGATGAGTGAGTGAGTGAGTGAGTCAGTCAGTCAGTCAGTCAGTGAGGGCTTTGCCTTTTATATATTTAGATTGTAACCAACTGTTAGGGCAACCCAACTTTATAATATAGGGGAGTAAAAGACCCTTTACATATAGGAAATGGGTAATTGAATATTTAGAAGAAACCAAATTCTTTAAATAAAGCCGAGTAGACGATTTGTAGAGTTTGTGATCAAAAAGATAATTAGATAAGTTTTGTACATTCAAACAAAATAATGAAATTGTTACTGCCTCTCTATTACTGTTATTGATTTTCAATTAAATTATCGTTACTCAAAATGTATGTATTGTTTAAACCTAACTTCTTCATCATAAAAGATATATACTCCAGGTAAAAAATTAAACATCCTGAAAAATATACATTTTACTCAGTCTTACACATGGAATGATACTTTGGTTATTTTGGTATAAAACATACAAAGGTTTGTAATACTGACTAGAATAAAACACACCAACGTCTGGGCTGCCACGTAGAGTAGTTTGGGTGCAAATACTGTCCAGACAAACAGATTATATCTCTGTAGAGTGATGACTAGGTGTAATGTTAATGTTAGTGGTCATTTGGTTACTGCTAATAGGTACTCCATTATGTATGTGAATCAAATGAACTATTGCTTTGGATACTGCAAGTAGTACACACTTCCTTTACGCGAATCCGACGTATCATTGACTTTGAATACTGCAAATAGACATTCCATTTAAGTGAACCAGAAGTAAGCCTGGACCATTGACTTTGGATACTGCAAGTAGACAATTCATTTTCGTGAACCAAATGTACTATTAAGTTTGGATACTGCAAGTAAACAATTTTTTTATGTGAAACGGATGTATCATTCACTTCATAACCTGTAAATAGACATTCCATTAAGTGAACCAGGTGTACCATTGACTTTGAATACTGCAAATAAGGATAGCCTATTAATATCTATCTATACTTATTTAATACGCAAGCAGGGTTTTTGTGACAATTACTCCTCCGAAACTACTGAACCGATTGACATGTTTTTGGTGTCATTGGAAAGAGTGTAACGTGAAGTTGTGCAAGAAACTTTTTTTAAGTTAATTAGAGAGTGAGGCCCTGGGGCCCTTTAAAGTTTTATATTTCTCCATAAGGATAAGATTAATATAGGCATTGAGTATAAACCTACTATACTCAATGATATAGGAAACAAACATTGAAACTCCGGCTGTAGTCAGAAATTAAAAGTAAGAAGAAGAACATTTATGTACTAGTCAATAAGTTTGCTAATTTAACATTTTTAAATTTCATAAGCCTTGGATACATAGATGTCATTATTATGTGATTATTGTTTTGTTATTGTTTATATTTGATTTGTTTACAAGTTGTACACAGATTTAGTTTAGTTAGTATGTATCAATTATATCATACAATTTTTAACAGTATTAGTGGAATGCCCCGAACCCATTGTGCCAAGAGTAAGTACGGTATTAATGGTACTTTGGCATTTATCTGGAGGCCACCCTTATACAGCGTGCTGCGGCTGCGGCGGTTATGTTAGCTTGGGTTATCATAAATATGTTTGTAGGACTTTCTTAGTTTCGTTATGAATGGAATGATATCAGATCAGTCATACCATCGCCAAATCCCCTCCAAGTAGGCCAAGGTCAGGTCGTTGACCAATGGCCAGAGTGCGCGCATCATCTGTCACCCCTTGTATCTCAGGTATCGTCACTCATGTGGTATCGCTAGATTCATAACAAAACGAGGAAACCCAACCTAACATAACCGCCACAGCGTGCAGTATACATACTCGGCGGAGTTCATGTGGCAGCTAGGGGCGGTGACGCATTCAACTCAATCTTCGCCGACACCGCTGCCTTCTGGGAGGCAGAACTCAAAAACCCCTAATTGCAATCATGTCAAATTTGGACAGTAAGTGAATTAAAGTGTGCTCTTTCTAATTATGTAGTTATTTTTGGCCTTAGGTAAAAAAATCCCTCTAAAACATGGCCTCCGAATAATACCAAAGTAATAGTACGGTATTTCCTTAAGCATGAAATGGAATTTCAAGTAGAACATCATAAATTCAATTAATTAATGAAGTTTTTAGGTAACTTATTTTGTAATTCATTGTCATAATGCTGAAAAAGAAAATAAGTATGGCATGGGTATAATACCAGGTATACACCTAAAACAATCCTAAGAAACTAATAACTTATTTTTCAAAATTATTAAACTTTCATGTTTTTGTCTTCAATAAAAATATGCGAAAACATAACAAATATTGTTATTTTAATTCTAGAATGACCCTTAAACTTAATGTTAATTTGTTGTGAGTTTATCTTACAACTTATTTTAAACAATAACCGTTAACTAAAAGGAAAAATTGTCTTGCGTGGATGCGTGTACTTTATTTCTATGGCAGATATTTATAGGAAAACGATTCGGAAATTAATGGTTTAACAATAACTAATGTCTAGTTAACTTAACAGTAAACTAGATAACACATGTCCAGTTAAACTGCAAAAAGTGATGCATTTCATAATATACAGACAACATTGGCTTTTGCCAACAAAGATGGTGGGTTGTCGTGTACGCCTCATGTTAACTCTCGTCAACCCCCCACCTCGCATGTAAGCGTCAACCCGGCACCCGCCATCACTATTTTATGAGGTGGCGGGTTGTGTATGCTCAATGTTCAGTGTCGTCAACCCGCTACCTCGCACGTAGACGTCAACCAGCCACCACACTAAAGAGGTGGCTGTTTGACGTGTATGAACACCTCTAAGCACCATCAGGACAACGTGCCACTACGACAACCCGCCACCACACAATTGAATTTTCCGAGGTGGCGGGTTGTCATGCACGCTAGAGTCGGGTGGGTTCCATAATATCGACAACCGTAGAAATTGATCGAAACTGAATTATTCCCAGTTTGTCGACACTGGAATATTCCCACTTAACCGACATCCCAAATAACCGACGTCGCAAATGATCGACACCACAAATTGTCGACATCCCATATTGTCGACAATGAAATAGTTTCATTTTGTCGACACTGAAATAGTCCCAGTATATCGACAAGCACCCGTTCTTCGGAGCTACTCTTGAAAAGGAGTTGTTCTAATTCATCGTTCAGTTCCTCAACTCACGAGTCGCAATATTTGATTCCGAATTCCGACGGACATCTTCAAGCTGGCCTGGCTGGCCATTTATTGACTAAAAACTTTTATATTGTAAATATTTATCTTTTTTATTTCTTTCCTTGTTTACAAGAAAATAGATGACTCGAGTGTTACAAACAATAGTTTTTAAGGATTAATGTGAAATAAGTTAATTTTTATAGGATGAAAAACGTAATCAACATGATAACTTAATAACAATAAGTAGTCCTACCAGACACTAACTCAGGTAAGTCACCAACAAGAACCTAAGATACAGCTTATTCGTAGGCTAATTCTGGATCATCAAGCAATATTGTAGCAAATGTTTGAATAGGCATTATCCCTAGGCTATTAGGATTGTCTCTTTTTCCCACTGACCCAGTGTCAACTTTAAGAATTTGTTTAGGCTATGTAAAAATATTTGGCTGCACTTAAGTTTATGTCCTACATTCATTCAAATGAAAGATATTAATACCAGACTATTTAATATTTTGAATATTACATTCCGTTAGTTAGGTTAAGTTTTACCCTAACATTACCCAAAATTGATATAGGCCTAAGTTAATTGAATGTAATAATCAATATGACTGGGACGGGTGGCGTCGTCCTGTAATCCAGCTACTAGGAGGTCACGAATTGTGGATATTTATAGGCATGCACTGTGGATGCGATACTCCCTGGTGTGGATTAACGTCCGCACGAGTGAGTACTACGACTATCCACAGTACTATCCTGATAATTAGACCAATTCGTATATATCAAGGCAATAATGTGGTTCGGATTCCACTATAAACCGTAGGTCCCTTAGTTGCCATTAGCTGTATGGGCTATTAATTAACAGCTGTGTCTAAGGAATGTCGGCCTTAGTCACTAACAAGACTACAAGATCGCGCCACTCATCCTAATCCTACACTCATTTCCATTCATACTTGGCTTAAAATACGGTACCTACTTTGTATGGTCGCCAAGTAATAAGTAAGAAAGTATTAAAGAAATGTATTCATTGGAATGAGTGTAGGACGTAAAATTATGTGCTGTCAAATATTCTAGAGCTGTTTGTATTTGGTGTAAGACTAGACTTGGATTATATAATTCATTGCTGATGACATCAATGTTAATTTTATAGATGATCCTGGAGCAAAGGCTGTAATTTGACCTGAACCCAAATTGGTCTCTATTTTAAATATTGTCTTGAACCAATAAGTTAAGAGGACTAACCTTTCTGGACGACATTGCCATCGACATCACTGCAGATGAGAGAGAAAGAGAGACCAGAGTTGTGGACCCTGGAGGCAATTACCATACTGCCGTGATAATGTTACTTGGTCTAACCATAACTTAAGTGAGGTGAGTCAACATTCTTTCCCCTTTGTGATAGATTCTAGGCTATGTTTGTTAACTAAGTTAACTTATTCAATGTTCAAATCGGTACTTTGATAAGTACCTATTATCCGGAGGCTACAGATAGGCTATACAGCGCTTTGCGGCGGTTATGTTAGGTTGGGTTATCATAAATGGAAAGAACATTTTTATGTCCTAGGCCTACTGTCCATATTTGGGTGAGTTCCATATTATCGACAACCATAGAAACTGATCCAAACTGAATCATTTGCATTTAGTGTTGAACAGAGTTTGAACAACTAATTATTTATATGTTTTATGGTAACTTTAGGGAAAATATAATGTGTAACACAAGTGCAAACTGCCTTTGCTGCACTCGAGAAACTTTCCACACTTGCCTACGGCTCTTGCGTAAACATTTCTCTTATGTGTAGCAAAGTGCCACTTCGCCCACTAGTTACCTACACAAATAAACTATTATTAATAGTTTTTGGTGGAACATAAGGATAATTAATTATAATCTTTATGCAAATTTATAGTTTTTTTATACAAATTTAAAACTAGGCCCCTACTTAAAATGTTGGATATAGTATACAAACATTTCACTTAAATAATCTATGGTTTATATTTTGTATTGATTTTTCCAGCTGCTATGAAAATGAACTTTAATAATTTTGAGACATATGATTTTTGGGATGAATTGTTATGTTGTGATTACAGAAATAATAGTTTGGTAGCATTTTACTATGATTGAGTAACTTTTCTTTTGTGAATAATTAAATTATTTTCTGCCCAGTATCGAGTCC